GGGCAGTTAGTGTTGAAGGTTGAGTTAGTAGCTTGGTAGCTGGTAGGCTGACGATGGTAGTCGTTCGGTGGAGAGAGAAGACTTAGATGATATTCATGGTAGCGACTGTATATATATGACAGGAGCGTGTGAAGTCACTACCGTATTCGTAACTACTATGCAGTCCAAGTCCCACGGTAATGCAGGACGGCTACGTAAGCAATGAACGTGGCCCTATGCGATGAACGCAGAGCCACACGAATGCGTAAGCGCTAAAAGTACCAATGGGATACCTAGCGCCAGAATAGACGTATGAAGGCGGTGTTTACTTGTAGACCTCTAGGAGGAACATCGCCGTACAGGAGGCTTCTGGATGAACCAATAAAGCCGTAAAGGGTCGAATACTAGACGTAAATCTGACACCACCACCCCACCTGTCAAGAAGCCGCCCCAAACAGGCAGGTCTGCGACTCGGCCGATCAGATCGTGATCGGGCGATCAACCTGAGCGTTGGCCTCTGTCGCCTCCTCCCTCGCCAGCGCTGAGACGCGTTTTTCACGCGTCGAACGAGGTTTAAGCCCAAAACAAATATGCCATTATACTTATACATGATGAAGCTATGTGGTACAGTACTTTTGAACAACGAAAATAAGATTTGAGACCGCCAAAGACCGAGCAGTGAGCAGAGAGAGGCCAGGAGAAGCAGAGCATCGAGAGCAATCAGAGCAACGAGAATGAGCACAGGCAGCAGTGAGACCAGATCAAGAACAAGAAGAAAGTGTATACGAGAAGCGCTAGCTAGTCCTAGCGCGTTTGTTGGACTTGTCAGGCTGATGTTGGGCGCGCTTTTGAGACGTAGATGGGCCGGCAGCTGCAGCATCAGTAACGTCGTCCGAGTCAACAAAAGGCAGAGTAGTGTTGAGGGCGCAGAGAGCGCTAGCATCCTTATCGGAAGGCTTGCGGCCGTGGGCCGCGAGGTACTCGATTTTTGATATAGCCATGGCATCGAGAACGTTTTGAGGGAGTGGAGCACCGAATCGGGAATAGTCGGGGAGGCCGTAGTTGGCATGATGAACGCGGAGGTGATCAAGGAGATTGTACTTCCAGATGGCGAGGACGCGCTTAGTGCCGGCGCGAGACTTTTGACGACCAGGGGCTGCGGGGACGGGAGGATGGCAGAGAGGACATGCGAGCGGGACATTGCGAGACGGACGACCAATCGAACTTTTCGTGGCCCAGCCGTAGGTAATGGTGTGTTTCCGCGCACATGAGCTCTCCGTTTCGACTATTGCACCGTCATTAGTGATGGTGATGAACGTGTCGCACTGCCCCACGGCGCACCAGCCGCAGGGCAACAATGAAGCAACCTGAATAACAGCACGTAAAATTAGCGAGCGTACACGCTGATGCAAGTACGAGGACGCACCGGGCTGACAACACCACAATCAGGCAGATGGAGCACGGCACGGAGAACGTGGATACCGTTGTGTGAACGGTAGTCAGAGGTACGACCAATCTGCACTCTGCAGATGTCGCAGAGTCTGCGAGCATTGTTCCTCGCATCACGTTCACCAGTGTCAACAACAAACGAAGGCTGGTCTGGGATTTGGTTAGCATATACAGATGGAAGATCGAAAGAAACATACCATCCTTGGCATACGGGAACACTCCACATCCCTGAGATGGGGTGATTGCCTTGAGAGTGCGGTTCGGGAGGGCTGCCTCCACGAAACGCTGGTACACCTTTGAAAAGGCCACGCTGAGCGTCTCGTGGGGAATCTCCCAGGTGAAGGCAACAGAGCCTGGGAGTGACGGGAACGCGGTGCGGTCGAGGTGTGGGCGCTCGCTGAATGCGGCAAGGATTGGATTAGCGACCTCGATGAGCATCCCCTGCGTGGAGATGATGGCTGCCTTCTCGGTGATGTCTCGACTACCCTGGGCGCTGGTGTCCTCGGTGATATACCCGCCGGTCCAGTACCAGTTGATTACTGGACCAGCAGGGGTTGCAACGATGATGGGGTGGAGGGCCAGGATCTGGCCGTCAAGACGGCACTTGGGGTCTGTGAGAGCGCCATACTCGATGGAAGGGATAGTATACCCGTCGCGGATGATGGCGATTGAGCGTGCGAGGGCGATGGTGATGGTACCTCCAGATCGTGCGAGTCCAAAGAAGAGGTTGCCTTGAAGGAAGGTGTCGTCGGCAGCAGGGGAGATTGGGGTACTAAGGAGGGACTTGTGCGTGAGGGAGTTGGGGTAGGAACGGCAGCGTTCGAGTCGATTGCGAGACTTCGGATCAAAATAACAGTTGATGATGATACGTACGATTGAGGCCTTGTGAACCCACTTTCCCTTATACAAACACCAATTGTCTGGGCGGATACCTGAGCCAACCGGGACTTGAGGTGCATCTGCAGCACCCACGCTGTCGTCCAAAGATGGCATCTTGACGAGCTCAACAGGTCGAGCGTCAGGGTCGATACCTTCTTCAGAGACCATGTCCGCGAGCGCCTGCTCGAAATCCTGGGCGATGGTGTCATCGTCCTCGTTGACACTTGCAGGGTGGGTGCTTGAGTTGGTGGCTGTGATCGGAGGAGTAGGGAGGGCGTCAGAGGGTTCGTCAGAAGCCTCATCAGATGCAACACCATAGTACTTGTTCCCACCAAAGGGACGCAAGAAATCGACATTGCGTGTCTTGAGGAGCTCGTCGTAGTCGTAGAACTGCGGAGGGACCTGGGAGATTGCTAGAGCTGCGACTGCTTGCAAACGTCCGTGACGCCAAGACGCGGGGACATTGCAGTTTGCCGGAGTGAGGTCGCCAGTCCAGTGACGGCGGCGAAGGTGGTCGGAAGCTTCTATGCGGCTCATTTGAAGGCGACGAGAGCCAGCGAGCAATTCAGGGTGACGGTCAAAAGTGGACTTGATGTCGCATGCGGCACCAAGGCGACCCTCAAGCTGAGCCAGGCTCATCGCTGAGTCATGACCGCCAAGCATGCGGAGGTATGCAAAGAGGGCCTCTAGCTTATCATCGCCCGCATCGCCGATCCAGACAGGTTGGGAAGGGTCAAGAGCGGCCTGCTTTACAATGCAGAAAATAAAGTTCTTGATCATCGTCTGATAATCGTAATAGAGGGGGTAAGGGGTGAACTGGCGACGGTGCTGGCGGAATAGGGAGAAGGCGAGGTGGGCAAATGCTGATAGAGAGGAAACTTGCTGCGAGAGCGAGAGCGAGGTGTTGGTGAAAGCGTCTAGAAGGAACTTGAAGAGAGCACTGAGGAGACGGATTGCTGCAAGATCGGTGGCTGCTTGGAGGTCATATGGTGGGGGCTGGATATCTGCAAGGGAAATGACTGCACGAAGTAACTTGATGGCACGAGGGACGTCCTGTGGATCATCCGGATAGAGGAGACGTGCCACGCTCTCCTTGTCTTCACCGGGAAGTCAAGCAAGGTACATGGCGAGCGTGGCCGGATTGATAACATGGCCATTGTTCAACGTGATCCCCCTTGGGCTTCGCAACAGCGTACAGAGCCCTATCAATACATTAACAATGAACGTACAAAAAACGAACGTTGAATGACTCACGTTTGAAGATATGCTTGGGATCAAAGTCGAGGGTCACAGCGCTGTCCCCAACAAAGCAGTTCAACCCGGGCAGAAGCCGGACTGTGCCGACCATGACCGGTGTCTGGCTGATGTTCGTGAGCTCGTCGATCTGGTACTTGAGGAACTCGTCGTGGAACCCTCGACGTCGAGTAGCGTCCCCATCCGTTGCCACCGACCAGATAGGGCCGAATCTGTCTCTAGCGCCAGATTCATCCCAGCTAGTGATTGCCTGCTTCATGGTCGCAGCGATTTGAGCTGGCGTCTCGGACTTGCATGAACCAGCGGCAAGGAGCGGGCGGATGGTGTCATTGCCCCATGTGGTGACTGCAATCACTGTTGCCTCCTTGGCAAGGTGGCACTCTTCTGCTTTGAGGCTGGTGGCGACACGGATAGCTGACTCGGCGTCTGTGAGAGTAACATTGACAGCGGCAGCATGTCGATGGCAGATGCCAATGACCTGCTGAGACCTGCTATCAAAGTCCGCCTTCTCCTGGAGCGCGATTTCGTCGATGCAGAGGGTGTGACCTGAGAGGGCAGGGGTAGTAGAGGAGGAAAGAACAATGTTGATGATGTTGTTGGTGAAATCGGATGGCTTGATAGGGCCGATAGTCGCGCGAACATTGATAAATATTCCGTCGCGCACAAGCGTGCGGCGAGAGGGGAGGCCAAGTCGTCTGTTGAGGGCAACGGATAGCTGCTCGCTGCCGAGCCGGTACACAAGATTGGCCAGGTCAAGGTCCTCTGCCGTGTATCCGCGGGGCTTGTAGACCATCTTGATGGCTTCTCCCAGGCGATTCAGGATCGTGTGCATGCTGTCACCGTGCCGAAGCGCCGCGCTGATGAGCTGGTGAACGCGAGGCACGTTATGCTCAGCTAGGGCCATCACAAACGCGTTGAACGTGTCGAGACGTGCGAGCGTGTTGCCAAGGCGCCGAGTATCGTTGAGCGACTGCAAGACATAAGTGTTGACATGAGATATAAAACAGTGACGAAGGTACTTACATTAAGCTTGAGATCGTTGATCTGCGCTCGCAGCGAGCGAGTGAGCTCGGTGAGCTGAAGCATGCTGAGGAACTGATAGCGGGTATGAGGAGCCACGCTGATAGCCATTGGGCGAAGGCGGTCCACCTCCTTTGGGATAGCCGCACACTCGGAGCAGGGGTCGGTGGTGGCGAGCCGTTGTTGACAAGTCTTGGCTCGCCCCTTGGGATTGTCGAAGGTGGGCATCTCCAGGGTGAACGGCAAAGCGCCGTGACCGTCTGAGAACCGGCCGACTGGGAAAGTTTCGAGGAACGAGCCACCAGGGACGTCCCAAGAGATGGGACACCCTTGGCAGCCGTCCGGAAGAGGTGGTGGTGGGCCGGGAAGGCGGAGAATGAGGGAACTTGAGGCCGAGCTGGTGGTAGACGAGAGTGAGGCCATCGACGAGAACTGGCTGACGCGTGCTGCAGTAGCAACATGATCGGCCGCCAGGACTCCAACAGAGCTCTGAGGGGTCAAGCTGGAGGTGTTGGCGCGAGAGCTGGGGCAGCAGCTGCAGCTGCCTCTGTGCTGGGCAAGCGAGTGCAGATGCCCTGGGACAGAGAACGTGGGGTCCGAGGGTGCCAGACACGTCTGGATCCAGTTGTTGCACTCGGGGCATTGAACCTCTCGGCGCCTGGGGCCAGCTCGGTCGTGGAGGTAGCCGTTTTCGTATAGCCAGAGTAGTGCATCGGTGGTGTTGACAGCGAGCATACGGTCCGGGTCGGGTTCTTCATCGTCCGAGCCAAGCTCAGTGAGGACGTCTGCGACCCGATCATTGCGTGAGTCGTTTGAAGCCTCCGATCAGCGGTCGTCCAGATCGTCACCTTGAAAGACGTTGTCGACATTTTGGTCGTCGTGAATGGGCCCGATATCGAACCAGGGCCGGTAGTCGGCAGGGACGTCGCTGAAAGCAGATATATGCGTAAGTTTTGGTCATCAAAACTCATTCGAAGAGAGACTCATACCTCAGATAGTCGTAGCCGGGGATTGACGGACTCGGGTACACCTGGCCGACGTCGAACCAGTCGTTCCAGTGTTCGGACGGCGGGATGTCGCTACATCCATATATGAGTAGCTGGTCAATGAAAAGACTGCTTTTCGTACCTCATATTGAGTCTTTTGGACAACTTGAGAGTGGTTTGAGGACTTGAAAGGAGTGTTGAGGGGTGGATGGATGAAGAGAGGAGTGGATGACAGCCGTTGATGGGGTGGTGCAGCGAGGAATGCAAAGAAGACGGTCGATCTAATCGTATCTTCAAACTTATGACACGAACGGTGTGGTTGTGTTTGGTTGCGGCTCCTGTCGGCCCGCACGTTGCCCACTTTTGAATGTCCCCTGTTTTCAGAATGTAGGTCGGTAGTGGTTCTATACTTCAACGCGAGTCCCTTTGTGGCGCTGCTGCTGCGTACACGTTGAACCTTTTATTTTGAATGAGGTTCGCCCCTTTAGCGTCCCTTCACAGAATATGACAAGAGTTTCTATACAATCTTTTCTCGATACTCCTGTACGCAACCTCCGATGTTGTGCCCATGTTCATCCTATTTTAGTTTATAAATGCTCGACTGAATTGTGCTAAAGTCTCTTTTCCGCAGTTATTCGCTATTCTATGGGTTAAGACCCAGTGTACATTCAGTTGGGCATCGATGTCCCTCAGACACCACTCCTTACTAGCTACTATTTTTAACGATTTAAACCCCTTACACCCGTCTTTAGGTATAAAACAGGGCCACCCGTCTCCTCAACCTGTTGGCTTTCCGTCGTTTCTCTATTTGCTTTCTCCGAGGTCCGCGTAGTCCGTCCCCGCCGTCGTTCCCTTTGGGAGACTCTTGCACACTCTTGCTAGCGTCCGAGTCCTTCAAATACCCCGGAGACGCCGTCGCGCCCATCTCATTGATAGCTCGAGTCCCATGCATGCACGTCCACCCCATCTGCCACCGAGGTTGCTGTGTGACCATGATGACACCCCCGGAAAAGCTGGCATATCCTCCGTCTATGAGGGTGATGCCAAGGTTGTGTTGCTTGAGAAGATATGCCGCGCACTCGAAACTATCTTATCATGGACCTCGAAAAACTGAGCCAGGCTGGCGCTGCGACACAGTTGAAGCTGCCTAGCGGGGGTTCTGGCCCACCCAGTGTATTCACCTTCGTCATGCTCTCACATGTGACCATTGTCACTGTCTCACGTTCTGCTCGGGCATCATTTTTGTGCGGAAAGACGGCTCTTGGGTCCCTCCTGCTTGCGCGTATGTACCCACGATTGAAGATGGGATGCGCAACGTTGAAAACGTACGTGTGTGCTGTGCCTCCACTGAGACAGATGACATTGCGCATGGTTTCAAGATACTTCTCGTTCGGGCAAGGGCATCCCACCACATGCGATACAACAGGCAAGGGGATTATTGCATTCATTTTCATGTCATGGGAGGGTATGATCTTGCGAACCGACTAGCTTCATTATCTTATCACTTTTCCACTCAACACTTTCGCCCTCATTGCCATCACACTCAAACTTGGTTCATGCCTTCTGCTAATGTGTTTGGTGTGTGCGTCACCCGCGACGGAGCCTCATGCTCCACCGGAACTATCGTTTTCACCAAAAGCTTCGAAGACCAATTTGAGTCCGTAGCCATTGACTGTTCGTTGGATATTTCAGCAGAGTCTTTTTGCCACATGCAAGAGAACATATCTGTCAACCACAGTCTCAGTCGGTCCACTCATGTTGAACTTGAGCCGGCTATTACGAAAGCGCTTCTCGCGGCCAGGTATGACTACGCTATCTTTCGTGCAATCTCATTTAACTTCCCCTTTCAGATCATTAAACTTGATGTAATTTGTCGAAGTCAAATGTACAGTATTATTGTCCATGTGTTAAGTTAAATAGCCTGCATGAAAAAACACTTCGACAACGTGTGTCTACACCTGTACAGCGTGGGGACGGAGCGTTTACGCGACGTCGTGTCTTGTATCGTTTACTACGATCGCGTCTGGGTCACGTGCAACTGACTTTTCCGGCCTCAATACCTTGATGCCGCCCGGGTTCGTTTTTTTTGGTGGCAACATATCGATTAGATTACATATTCTGATAGATTCAGGTTTATTACCACAACCCCATGTACATTACGGTTATATTTTAGATGATGAATAACGACTTGTGCACTTTCTAACGTCGATTATGGGCAACTCGCGAAAGTGGAGCACCTGAGAAGCCACCTGCTATATGCGGTGGCTCCAAAGATTAGTCGGTGTTTCGTTTCGCGCTAACGCACGCCTCTTGGTCTGCTCCACAACAGATAGGGGCCATTCGGCCGAATGTCTTCAGAAAACATAGATGTTCCTCCGTCACCCATAAGGATTGCAGGAAACCGCATACAATAATACAGGTGCAGACAGCGCTGCTTTTCACCTTCCATGAAGCCTAGGCTAGATCCCTTTCACTCCTCCATCATCTCGTCCTCCCCGCCCTCGACCTGCGCCGCCTTCCACCACGCTACCGGCCCCAGCCCTTGTTCAGAAATCGAGCACTATCCGCGAATAGCACTGTCAGCCAGGACATCGCTTCAAAGAAAAACCAAAATACAAAAAAAACTAAAGGATAGCTCACCACGACACTATACGGCGCCCTCCGCTCCCTCACAGGCGGCGGCGCAACACCACCCTCGCCGGCGCGCGGCGGGCCCGGCTCGTCGTCGCAGAACATGTCCGACTCGACGCGCACGCGGAGGACTTCGCCCGCGTCGATGTACATTCTAGCGTCCTTCGGCGAGTCGAGCAGGTCCGCGGGCGCGGTTTCGGTGTCGTCATCGGAGGAGGGGAGCCAGAAGTGTGCGCGCTCCGAAGGGTCGCTGTGCGACGGCCAGCCAGGTTGAGAGGGGAGGCAAAGAAAGGGCAGGGCAGGGAAGTGGGGATAGAGAATAGAATAAGTTAGCTTGAGAAGAGTAGAGGCGGCGAGCGGGGACGTACAACGCAGACGGCTGAGGCAAATACGCCAGCGGAACATACATATCATCAAAGAACCCCATCGTCACTGTGCACCAAAACACAAACGGTCGAACTCAGCCGAATCCAGAGAAGGTCGAAAAGAGAAACTCACACCGCACCCCCTCCTCATCCGCGCTCCTTACCCTCGCAATCACCACCTCACCCACAAACGGCCGAAACACGACCATCCGAAACGCCACCTTGTAATACAACAGCCCGTCCCCGTACCGCACTCTGCCAGAGCCCGCAGAGACGAGATCGAAGACGGCGACGCAGAGCCCGACATTGTGCAGCACGCGGTTCGCGTACTTCTTGTTCAGCGCGTGCTTGAGCGCCGCCTCGGGCGCCTGCCCGAAGGTCGCTGGGTGCAGCGGGACTGTGTCCTGCCGATGCAATAAAACAGAGGAGGGTTAGGATCGTGGCGTGTTCAGGCGCGGTGGAGAGGAGGAGACAGACCTTGATGATGGAGAGCTGGAACATCGCAAGCGCGAGTGAGCGTCGGAAATCTCGGTCACGTTATCTCACCTCTGCGTCCATCTCTGACTCATCCGATATCTCGCCTCAAGCAACACGACGATGTCAGCGAGATGTTCCGTGAGCAGTGATTATTAAGATCGTATGATGCATGTGTACTGTACATTGCTGGTAGCGTGAGGTCTATACTTTTTAGAGATATATACGCAGTTATGTATGGGAGGCTGTATGTATGCGGGGTGTAAGCGTAAGTGTAGTTGTAAGAGCTGGGAGGAAAGCATGCGTGCAAGTGTCTCGCCCCGACCTCAGAGAAAGATCCGTGTGAGGGGACAGGGCGGAGGAGAAAAAGCCCAGTGACGGCCATAATAAAAAATACCTAAGATATCAGACATGAAGAAAGCAAGGGAAAGCAAGAAGACCGAGACGGCAAGCAGAGGCCCCGACTGCGTCGCCATAGCCGGTCATGAGGCGTCGCTCCAGCGGAGCACACCCTCGTATATCGAGTACATGACCACCGCGTTCGGGACGACGCGCATCAAGTGCGCGCTGAGACCGCCGTACAGCGAGCGGGCGCCCTCCTCGGCGATGACGAGCCGGAGCGTCTGGTACAGCCCTGTGTACTTTGGCTGGCCTGATGGATACGGTTGGCGAAGACGCGTTCGTAGTACCTGCGCGCACACACCCAGACCCGGTCAGAAAACGCAAAGTCAAAGGAAGGAGGAACGCACCTCATGAGGATACGTGATCAGACTAGCCACACACTTGGCCGTCCCTGCGCTGCCGAGCATCCCTGCCCACTCGCCGAGCCCGCCCTGGCCCTCCGTGTTCTTCGCCATGCTCTTGAGACGCTCATACAGCACCCACTGAATCGTGCCCTCCGTGACACCGAGATAACTCGCGCTAAGGCCCTTGTAAAACCCGCGTATACCCTCGTGCTTGGCGATATGCTTGATCATCGCGAAGCTCCGCCCTGCCCCACTCCCGCCCTCAGCCTGCACAGCGCTACCCGTGCGCGCCTCGAGCTGCAGCCGCGTCTTGACGACCCAGATCGGGTTCGTCGCTGTGCCAGTCGCGACGCCCGCGATAGCCGCAGCGCCGAGGTGGATGTACGCGTTCTCCTGCCCGCCGTTGAGGCCCGCCGCGAGCGCGTGCTTGGAGGTGCCGTACGTGAAGAAGTTGATCGAGCGCGCGGGAATGACGCCGACGAGCGTGGGCCCGAGGCCCTTGAAGAGCGCGCGAGGGGACTCGTCTCGGTATATGTCTCTGTGGGCCGCAGCGGAGTCAGGGATTGAGACGTGGGAGTAGGAGAGGGCTGGACGCACCGGAGAATGTGACCTGTTTCGACGAAGTGGTATAGGAGCCCGCCTGAGCGATGTGGGAGGGTGGCGACGCCGCCGCCGACTACACCGACGGACGCGTGCTTTTCGCGGAAGAGGCTTGACTGGAGACGCGTCTTCACAACGTCAAACGGGCTCGTGACGATTGCACCGCACATTCCTCCGAGTCTGCAGAGGATGTACGTTAATTGGCTGGAGCAATGAGTTGATTTGACGTGTACGCACCCTCCGGCAACGAAATGCTGCCATGACTTTGCGGGGAGGAGACTCGTGGTGGCCGTAGGGTTCTCAGCGGTAGGTGGAGGGCCAGACATTCTTGCGGTGAGATTACTGGTCTAAAGCAGAGAGACTCGTAAGGCGTGACGAAGGAAAGGAAAACCGAGAGACCCTCGCAAGGCCACAGGAGGAGGAGGACAGAGCAAACAGGAGCCTGGAGAAACGGAACGAAAATTGGCTGCCCTGCATTCCCATTTCAGGACCGTTTCTTCTCCTTTTGGACATGTCAGCCGTCATTTGGTCCGGCCCGGAGCCTTGCGAGCACAACAGAGGTAAACAACTCGGGACGCGCGGCGCGTCGGCTTTACTCTGCAATCGCTTTAGCGCCCGTAAACATCTAAGGCATCCCTTCTTGCAAGTCTGTAGCGGGCGAACTTTCTGGCTTCCAACGTGCACAACTCTGCTATGGACTGAATAGACCGGCCCTTAACTACAGCGTGGTGCCCTCCTTGAGGCAGCCCCGACCTCCCTATGCCAGCTGCTATCCTCCGCCTAGGAACACTTCTTGCTTTTGTACTCTTCTTTATCGGCTTCTACAACTATAGGACCAGCAATAATACATCGATGGCAGCTACTACAGCTAGTAAACTTGCCAGCGACACAGGAAAGCGCGCTGCAACTCTCATATTCCTTCACGTGCGTGATACCCTCCCTTACGCCTAAACACGCCGAGCATCTTACCCTCTTGTCCACCGCGCACTCCTCGAATCTAACAGGGCCTCGGCGACACCCCAGCAGGCTGGCGCCAATCATGGGCAAGGTACCTCGACGACCCGTCCCTCTCGCACATCACCGTCGTCGCCCCGCGTGCGCCAATACGTTACGGCTCAGGCTACACATGGTACCACGTCGGCGCGAACGACTACGAGGACAAGACCACCCTCGATGCGAGCATCAAGACGCTGGACGCGCTCGTTCAAGAGCAGGTCGACGCAGGCGTCCCGCCGGACAGAATCGTGCTGGGCGGGTTCTCGATGGGCGGCGCGATGGCGCTCGCTACGGCCTTCACGGCGCCGCGGCGGGAGGGATGGAAGTTGGGCGGTGTCATAGGGCTGGCTGGGTACATTCCGCGGGAAGACGATTTCGTGAAGGTGTGTTCGGTGTGCGCTTAAACCCTCTCTCGCTGTTACGCTGACCATCGTACAGGCCGTGTCCTCGACCCCCAAAGACACCCCTGTGTTCTGGGGCCACGGTAACGTCGACGGCGTGGTCGCGTACTCCGATGGCGAGGCTGCAGTTGCGATGCTGCACGAGCTCGAGCCGAGTCTGAACGTGTACAAAGTCAAACATACACAGCGCGATTGGGATGCGGACACCGACACGCGTATCGAGGGCGAGAAAGGCGAAGCGTGGAAGAGCGAGAAACACGCGTGGATCGAGCGGCATGAGTATGACAACATGGACCATGGGCCGACGTATAGGTGGCACGATCAGGCGATGGAGAAGCATTTACGGGAGTGGTTGAGGAGGGTGGTCCCTGCGTAGGCGATGGATGGTGCACGGTGCAATATGTGAGTAGCTACCGAGGACTATTGTCCTGCTGTTTCGTACTAGTCATGCTGACTTTGCGTAGTCAGCTATACCATAGCATTACGTATACCTTGGTCATCCTGGATATCAATCATGCCAATCACGCTGTCACTTCGAGCTTCGACGAAGAGATGGGCACAGAGTTCGAGGATTGCAATACAAACAAGTCTTGGGAGTATTTTGGCTCAGATGTGTGCATTTGTACAATCTCCAGCTATATGCATAGCTAGCAAGTCGATCGAACTTGACCGACGGTGTGTACTTGGACTCCTTGGGCGTGGTAGTGGCTCCACTGGCAGAGACCTTCAGCACACGGATCGTCGCATCCAGTTCGGGTAGCAGTGTTTAGGGCGAAATCTACAACCGGAGTGTGAATATTTTTAGGCTGATTGTATGCTGATTGTCTATCGCACCATCGATACCCCTTTGCGCCAACTCCTAGCCTCCTTCTCAAAAACTTTCAACCCCAGGAGGCCTGTGCTAGGTACACCTGCCACCGAGTCTTCGGATCATTCATCCATTCACCACCGGCTTCTGTCCACCATGGGCCAATACTGGATGTTCCTCAACCTCGACAGGCACGAGCAAGTTGGTGGCCTTGGGAAGCTTGGCGAGTTCTTTGGTGATGGCAGTACGAATAGAAGTATAGCAACGCGGTTGTGCCGACTTCGACCTCTTCCAAAGATACCGAGAATTCAGCCGAGTGAAGTAGAGAGTACGAACATCGAGTAAGAACACTGTTTGTCATCTGGAACGTTCGGGCTTGCTGACGGCGATTGCCAGGTTCCCTAAACGCGGCTTGCTCGCGCTGCCCAACGAGATCCTTCTCCACATCGCGGACGTCGTTAGATCCTCCACGGATCTCGTCTGTTTTGCAGCCACATGTCACCGATTCTGGTATCTTTGCTCCCCCGCCATCGAGACTGCTATGAAGACGGTATCCTGGGCGGGCTGCCGCATCATTGGCCTCGGAGACTATATGCAAAACGACGATCTCCCAGCTGGCATGCTCACCGACGCTGAGCAAGCTGCCCTAGGCGGTCTGAAGCCGGATGAAGATGGGGAGCGCCCCTCACTCTACAACCATGCGCGAGAGAACTACCCAGACGCAATTGTCTCTTCGTCGTTCTCTAGGGTCAGGAACGCGTACTTGAGACCCCTCGAGAAGCGAGGTATCAAAGGCGCACCGATGGCGGCTATTGAGAGAATGTGCACGCCCGTCGAGCCGACGGTCCTTCGGAATCTCTCCAAGAAGCTCTACGTGAGTGCTGCTGCCATCGATGCGCTCAACAAGGAGATTTCACAGAAGTTTGATGGAGAGTGGGCGTACACCCTTGGCGATGCCCTCGTCGGTCGTATCTGCTGGTCGTCTGATCCCTCGTGCTCGATGCCGGAAAACTGTGATGATATTACTCGCGGACCATGGGCTGGCGACGCCTTTGACATGACTTCCATGGAGATATTTCAAAAGGAGGCGGACTTTTCGCAGTGGGTAGATGCGAAAGACGAGGTGTGCGAGGCGCTGCTGCGATACTTGGATGGCTGCTAGGGTACGATGTATGGGCTGCGTGACACACTAACGAGTAGTCGAAAACGCGATGTATGTTGGTCTGGGGTCGAACTCTGTTGCGAACGAAGTGTAGATCTATTGATTAGGATGAAAGTGGAAGAGAAGAAAACACGTGGAAAACAGAGTGTCGGAAATGGGAGGCAACATGAGATGAAATAAACGAAACAAGTGGATATTGAAGAGGGCGTGCGCACACGACAACTTGAGTGAGAAAAAAATGCATGAGAACGACTAATTTGAGTAATCATCCGCAGGTAGAACCGTTGCCTCGCTTCTTTATCACCAGATAGTAAATATCCAAGTCGAATCCGTATGCGTGGCGGAGGAGGCGCCATTGATAAATCGATAAGCGCTGGGTATGCAGGTGATGTTCCCATTCGGGAAGTAGGACTTAGGGGTGAATCTAGCGTGGGCTGATTCTCTTAGTCTCCTTTTTGCAGCCGTTTTACACGTGTCGCTGCGCTCTTTTGACGATGTGTAAAACTGATTCTCTATCGCACCACCGCCTCCTGCCTGAGCTTCTCTAGTGTCCTCCCCAAGGACATTACCAACCCCAAGCTGATTTTGGCTGAGGCCTGTGCTGTGGCCACTAGGTTTACCCGCTATCGATCCTTCATATCATTCATCCATTCACCACCGACTGCGCTTCAACATGGGTCAATACTGGAGGTTTCTCAACCTCGACAGGCGCGAACATACCCGGGCCAGAGGCTACCGCTATAAACTCGGCGAGTTCTTTGGCGATGGTATTACAAACAGAAATATAGCACTGCGGCTGTGTCGACTCCGATCCCTTCCCAACATGCCCAGAATTCAGCCCAGTGGAGCGGAGAGTACCAACATTGAGTACGTACTGCAAAAACAGCGTTTCATCGACGTCTGGGATGTGATTTGGCTAACCAAGGTTGGCAGGCGACCTGGGCGCAGCTTGCTCGTGCTGCCCAACGAGATCCTTTACCACATTACTGATGGCATTGAAACCCTCGAGGACTTTGCCTGTTTTGCAGCCACATGCCATATATGCTGGGACCTATGTGCTTCCACCCTGGAAGTGTCCATTAAACACATGGTATCTTGGGCAGGTTCCCGCATCATTCGCCTCGGAGACTACATGCAGAACGATGATCTCCCGGCAGGTATCCTTACCGAGGCCCAGCGGGCCGAGCTAGACGCCGCTGTACCGGACGAATCCTCCCAAGGGCGACCCGTCTCACTCTACGAATTTGCGGGAGATCACTACCGCTCAGCGGTTATGTCTCCAGACTTTTTTGACATCACATACGCGTACATAAGACCGCTCGAGAAGCGAGGTATCGAAGGCGCACCATTGGCGGCTATCAGGAAAATGTGTACGCCCGTCGAGGCCACCGTTCTCCGAAACCTCTCCAAGAAGCTCTACGTGCGTGCTGATACCATCGACGAACTCAACAAGGAAGTCCAACCGAGGTGCGGCGGCAACGAGCCTTTTAGTCTTGGCGAGGCACTCGTTGGTCGCATCTGCTGGTCATCTGATCCCTCGTGCGCGATGCCGGAACACTGCGAAGACATCACTCGCGGACCCTGGGCTGGAGATGCGTTTGACATCACTTCGATGGAGATATTTCAAAAGGAGGCAGACCTTTCGCGATGGGTAGATGCGAAAGACGAGGTGTGCGAGGCGCTACGACGATACTTGGATGGTTACTAGAGTACGATGTATAGCCTGGGTAGCACCGGAAGCCATAGGCCAGGAGTCAGTATTTCGCTTGAAACGTACACTTTTCTAACTTGTTGTTGCTCTCGAAATGTCCAATCATAAATTACGTTTGTTCACTTAGACTCGTTTGGCCGATTTCATTCTCAAGCACATTAGCATAGATAATCCTGGGTACTTGCGCGTCCAAATTTAGTACTTATGGAATACCGTCGACTCCGTTCTCACGTTGAGTCTGAGGTACTCAACTTCAACATCGTGGTAATCAGGAACATGTACCAGGGCTTTGTTTCAGGATTTCTCAGGGTACTACCTTGCAAGGATGCACTACGATCGATGTACTTAGATTGCAGAGTAGATGATAGACATATCCCGAACTTACGTTTAAAAGCGAAAGGCTAAGAAAGGATATGAACGCACTTTAGCATAGAGGAACGTGAACATTTCGGGACAAAGGAAAGAAAGGGCGCATTTGCCGAAACGGAAGCATTCTAAAAGTCAGCGGCTAGAGAAGGAATGAGTCGTTGAAGAAGAAACGAAGAAGGAAATTAAACGTGAAAAAGGCCGTTAGAAAAGCAAGTCACACATCAAAGAAGAGGAGCATAAGCGTTATCCCGCCTGATCTCGGGTGTTCTACATATTGGAGCTTTTTCCGCTTTGCATTACTTTCATCAGCGTCCGCGAATGTCGAGCATACGGCTCACGCAGCACGCACCTGGAGCTGATGTCTCCACGATGGAAGGCAAACTCGATGGTGAGTCGGGACCCTTCCACGGGCCCGGTTTGTTAATGCTCCCGAGCATGCTGACCGGCACCAGAAGGCCCCAGAGCATGCGCGAGCTCGGAGAAACTCGACGAATGTGCAGGCGGATGCCATGCCGCCTGCGATTCAGATGGGTCACATCTCTGGAAATACGCGTGGTTGTGCTCGGTTAGGGAAGCAGGGTTAGGGTTGCCAACTAGATAGCGGAAAGTGAGCATGTTACGTCCGGACAGCGACATAAAACTTCATCTCACCATCCACACCCATCTGCCCGGACTCCCATCCTCCTCTTTCATAGGGAGGCAAAAGCATAGGCGTCCACTCCGTTGCCGAAGGGGGGAGGCCAGTGTTTGATAACGCAGGTGCCGCGTTGAAGGCCGAAGATGCCGATGGCGGTGTGAAGTGTATCAAATTCTGGTCTTTCTCTTCGCCCGGGTGTGCGAAGAGACAGTCAGGTTGTGTGTACGAGTCTGCTTGGGTATGCCGGTTCGCTTGGGTTTGTAGTGCGGTCGACAAGGAATAGAGGTGTTCGAGGGATGTGCAAAGGTCTGTTTTGATCATCTTCAGTTGTCTCGCCGAGAACTGTGGATTTAATGACACACCGTCGACGGCTGTTCGCTTTCTATGAAATTCATCCATGGGTTCCGGAGGGATTGGCGGATGGCCCATGGTGACGGATTCATCGACAGCAGGAGTCTGACGGGTAAACATGTCAGTAGTGATACGCTGCTAAACGTCAATCCGCGTACGTTAGAGTTAAACACCGGTGGTACGTCGGCCATCTGTTCGGCGACGCGTGATCAGCAAGTAAAGAAAATGGCTGCTATATACAGAGGAGTGTATAGCTTACCAACCCGCTCTCAAGTTGTCCCTCCGGCGATAGAAGCCCAAGCCGTCCTGCGAGTTGGCCCGCGAGTTCCTCAGCAATGCCAATCAGCGTTCGCAACTCGCTGACGCACACCATCAGCGGCTCGTGGTCAAATGTAGGATCGGAAGAGTACGAGGCAAGTTTCGATCGCGCTCCGTGGAGGACCTTTTCCACAACGTCGAAGATCTTGCGATGAGACCGCGACACTGCCCGTTGCTCCTCTGGCAGCATTTTCGTCACATCGTACAGGTGCTGAATCTGAGTTCTTAGGTCTTCTTGATCTGCGTCCACGTTTGAGCTCATACAGGACGAAGGTTGCATGGCATCCTCAGCTGAGAGAAAGCGGAAGACGTCTACTGGCCGTTGTGCGGCACTGGTGTAATACCCCTGCTGCGGCGCTTGGTCCGGGGCGATAGGCGGTGACTGGAGTAAATGACTCTGAGGGGACCAGAACGAAGTAGTACTGGGGTTATCCTCAAGGCGCTGAAATGCTTGCTCCGGCGCAATGTATACTAACCGAGGCGGAGGGTTGTGAGACACGTCGTTGGGAGGGGCTTGATGGCCTTGGGATGGCTCATGGTGAGACGCAGAGTTTCGCAGGGTAAAGGCATCACGTCCATAATCGTACAACAACTTAACATAGAGTCAGACGCTGGTATGCCCGTGTAGTATTAGGAAAACCCACGTTGTGACTATTAGTTTCGTGAATTCTATGAGTAACGTCAACAGGATCTTTGCCTTGACTAGCGTCAGCGTTTCCTCCTGCCATACGAGCCTTCCTCTCATCGAAAGAATGAGGAATCTCATCCTGGTAAATCGCCCCCTCAGCAGTAGCGACAGGGGAACACCAACTCGGGGAACTCACAGAAAGCCGAAGTGCTCCTTGGTGCACACCAACAACCTGTTTTCCTTGGCCAGACATGACACCGTGCGTAAGTCCTCCGGAACCTTGACCGTGATTCCTTCCGTTCGCTCCCTGGATGAAGGCAATTGGTCAACATGGTAACCTGCGAGGTCAGTGCGTCGTCCGTGCCACTCACAATTAAGAGGTGGGATGAGCGCGCTTGGACCCTCGACAAATGATCGCTTAACCCTCCAAGCATGCTCTGAGAGTAAATCTGATGGAGCGCATTAGTGACAACGTCAGTGTAGGGCATCTGTACCACTCACCATTGGATGCGACAAATCACCATATGGAACACCCTCGATCTCGGTACCAGCCACACGACGGCTCACTTGCATGCGTCTGGAGTTAATGCCGCCTGGTGGGTAGTATTGGGGCACCACCTGCTCGGGTTCGCCGAGAGGTGCTGACAGTGAGGCCCCCGCTCGCCTTTTGTTGGGACGACGAGAAGTGTTTGATACGACCCTCGTTGGCGACACCTTTTCCCCTCTAAGCGACACCTGTATGGTATGACGTGGGTTAGAGAAGCGCATTGGTAAACCAGTATCGTACTCACACTCTGGTCAGTGTTTGGCCTTGGACGGGTGGAGCGACGCTTGGGCGCGTTGCGCTGCATCTGAGCGGCACAAGGTGGGCAAGGATTCGGAGCCGAGTTAGGTGAGCCACGTATATCCTCACCCTCAAGCTCGAGCCAGTATACGAGTACAAAGTGGATGGCAGAATGAGATGGGATGGTGACAAGGGAGGTTTGGTTTCAGAGGCTGGACCGATGTGGACGCATGAACGGGGAACCGAACCAGGGTTGGTATATCCGGGGGCGCGTGCTGCAATTTCTCGCGGTTGTCCAATAATGTGAGATCACGTCCCGCTCCAGGATCAACTCTATATTTTACCCGATGACTCACGGGGCAGGTCCATGCTTGGTGTTTTGAAAGATGTCAATGTTCCTCTATTTTCTCAGTTGTTCGCAGTTGTCGACTTTAGTAGCTTTGACCGAGGGTCAGCTAGATCTGCAATACAATCGATGTTGGCGTTAATACGCTATAGTGTAAAATGGAGGCAGGCAAAGCGTCCGAGAGCAAAGGCATCGAAAGCATGGGAACGCAACCAACTGTTACTAGTTTGGTTTATCTGCATGAATCACGGTAATCTATACTCACAGAAACGCAACGTTTGCTCCGTTGCCAGTTTTCGGGCTGAGTGTCCGGCACATAGAGGAGTAGGTGATTGATAGCGGTTTCGTCAGACCAAGAAACATGAAACGACACATTCGATGTGCTCTACAGAGCATTCCGAAGACTTGATACACTGAGTCAATAATCCCCTGCAAGTACTGGAGAATAGAGCCTACCCTTCGCATCTACGAGGCGCATTGCAGTGGGATGCATTGGTCTCGTTCATGTCGAAACCTATGATATGAAAAGTGATCATTACTTTTAATTCGCCAAACTGGCTTCGAAGCTTTTACTCCATAAAGGTATGGCTGAACAAACACGTGGCGATAAGGCGTGCAGCTCACGTGATAGCAAAGGAAGGGCATGGAGTTCAATGTGTGAACGTACGCACAGGGAGTAGAACGATGAGTAGCGAGGAGCTCCGGGTAGACGCCAGTTAGACAGAGTACCTGCTGGGTAAGGTCAATAAAAGAGTGCCTACCCAAAACAGCCCCTACCACTCCAGGCATCGCCAAGAAAACGTACCAGATAGACCAAATGAAACCCACAACTTTACGACGGGTGAGCATATCCTCTGAATATAGTTCAACTAGCGCCAGCGCAGTCTTAGCTTTTGCCTCATGGGCAGGAGGATTCTGCGGTTGTAGTCAAAGCGGAGCTTCGGCGTACAACGAGCACATCACGAAGTTTCCGCGCTTGAAGGAATCATCCTTGAGAGCGCGGCATCTAGCATGTAGAACTGGAGTACAATGAGCGCACCAGACGGGGAAACGGGAATGCAACACGGCTCATTGCTTGCAATTGACTCAAGCCACGAAAAGGTTCGAAGATGGAGACGAGAACGGGGGAGGTGGTTTTCAAGGACGTACCTGGGCATAGAGATGAACACCAGCTGGCAGAAAAACACTCCCAACGACTCAATGGTGCTCGTCCTATCGTTTTAACAGCCCGTGATGATGCTTGGGAGGCAGGTGGTTTGCGCATGTGCAGAGCAGTCCAGATGTAGACTACTTTGACATATGTGCAAGCCACTGCCGTTGAATGTTGAGGTCCAGCTAAGTCGTCTTGTTAGCACTGAGAGTGCAGCTGGTGTAGGCATCTGTAGGCGTTCATGCGAGGGGCGACTGTGGGCGCAAGCAAGAAAGTCTATGCGGCGACACGGCGGCTCCGAAGCTCGGCGAGAATTGAAACCGCCCGTGAGAATATACCGGAGGTCGCGGGCCGCAGGGACCAAGTCAACATCACTCTTGCGTCTGATTACCGCAAGACGCGCGTTGACCGCAACTTGTGACCAATCGCTAGCAATTCGAGCACTTCCTTTCCTTGGCCAAGGTTGGCAAGTTTTGTTACTGCTCTTGTGCTCCTAAACATCCACCTTGGCAAAACGTCGAAGGCATGACATGCAGTAACCCCGGATGCGTGGCCGATTTCAATCGAGTAAAAGGCGCGTGAGTATTAAACGATGCCGTATCTGCAATCACGGGACATATATCACGTTTGATATCTTCACGAAGTATGACAGCAGGATCGTGGTGGTTGGAAAGGCGTGTTTTGGAATTGGAAAGAATGGAACAGAACTGGCTTTGTTTCGGCTGGTGCGTCCGTCCCGATTCTTACCTGTTCGAAGGCTCAGTAGGTTCAGTTACCTATCGCAACTATGCATACCAGTCGTTAAAAATACTCCTCTCACGAACACCTACTGCACGTTCATCTCTAACACGATACAAGGGAAGCACTGGGGAGCACTGCCGTTGGACGCGCGTCGGAAGACGGTCCACATAGGACCACACTGATCTATCGAGGAACAGCAATAGCCCTGATCCTGTCACATCCAAGACGTGTGGAAGGGAAGAAATATATTAAAGTCGTAATCCGAGTCATGCCACTGAGAACACACATGTGAACGCCTGCTGTGAAGATCTGGTGGAGTGACCGCACTGTATTCTCGTGTATTCCTGGAATTGCCACTGTCGGATGCTCACATGTCAATGTTTCCACTATGAACATGCGGTATGGATGCGCGAGCCTGAAGGTACCAGGGACATAGAAACCACCACCCGTGCCCGGCATCGCAGAAGAGGCAGGCAACCCGTGTGCCACGAATTAATTAGACAGCCACTAGGTGCATAAATACGGAATAAATACAAATGCTTTACACAAACAAAAACATAGCGAGGGGAAGTGGCATAAACACGGGCGCATGCTTCGTAGAAACAGAGAAAATCAGGAGCACACTCTAGCATAATCTGGATAAATGGGATCATATGTCGAAGAAGGGAATCATACTCCAGTTCAGACCAGTGGTTAGAAACGGAAGCATACATCAAAGCAAAAAAAGGATGGGGAGTTTCTGTTGATCGAGTAAGAGGTTCAAAATCCAATACCCGCAGCACTCTGGTCAAACGGTAAGCACCCGTTACTCCACGGAGACATAGCAAGCAACTCACGGGGTATATGCAGCGGACGTCTACAAGGCAGAAGGTAATCTCGATCATCAATCGGACAACGTCGACGGGTCAGGAATGTGCGTACTGCCAGGTGTTTTAACGGGCCCGAGAGCATGTGCTAGCTCCGAATAAGCGTTCACGGGCAGCCTCGGGCAGTGAATCAGATGGGATGGATCTGTGGATGGTCCCTCCGAAGTTCGGTCCGTCGCTTCCCATTTGGGAAGCAGGGTTAAGGGCAAAACCTTGGTCATCCCGAGAGTGAGTATTTGGAGTTCGGACGGCAGCATACTCTATCTCACCATCCGTATCCATCTGCCCATGCTCCCTTCCCCATCTTCATAAGGATACAAAAGCATAGGTGTCGGCCCCGTTGCTGAAGGGGGATAGCCAGGGTTTGATAACTCTGGCGCCATGTCGAAGGCTGATGATGCCGACAACGCGTAACTGTGTTTCAAATTCTGGCTATTTTCTTCGCTTCAATGGGCGAAGAGTTGCTCAGAGTGTAAACCCAAATCCAGCTGGATGTACGGGTCGGTTTGACTGTTGATCGCTTCCAATTGTCTCGCCGAGAACTGTGGATCCGATGACACACCGTCGACGGCTGTTCGCTTGCTATGAAATTCGTCAACGGGCCGTTGACGAATTTCATAGCAAGCGAACCGCAACAAAGGCACTCGGGTGTGTTGGATGCGGGTGACGGGAACTCGGCCGTGTACGATGCGAAGTTCGTTGGATGGGCGGACGGTAGCGAGTAAATCGTATTGACCGAATTGGTGACAACATCGGTGTGGGATCTCTATGCCACTCACCGCCGGAAGTAATATATTACTGAATAGAGTACCCTTAATCTCGGTACCAACTACACGACGGCTCACTTGTATGTGTCTGGCGTTTATGTCGCCCGATGGACGGTACTGGGGCAATGTCTTCGCCGAGAGGTGCTGACTGCGAGGCTGACGCTTTCGTTTTGTTGGGACAACGCGAAGTGCTTAACACGATTTCTTTGGCGGCACCTTCTCCTTTGTAAGCAGCGGCTGTATGATATGATACGGTTTAGATGAGCCCCATTGTGACCCAGTATTGCGCTCACAATCTGGTCGACGTTTGACCTTGGGCAGATGGAGCGACGCTTGTGCGCGTTATGCAACATCTGAGCGGCACAAGGTGGTTAAGCACTCGAATCCGGGGACACAAATGGGAAGCCGAACCACAGTTGACATATCCGGGGGCGCGTGCTGTACTTTCTTGCGGTTGTCCAATAATACGAGATCACGTCCCGTTTCGGGATCAACATTCACGGGGCGGGCCCATGCTTAGTGTTTTGAAAGACGTCAGTGTCCCTCTGCTTTCTCAGGAAGTGTATCGAATTCTGGTCTTTCTCTTCGCCCGGGTGTGCGAAGAGACAGTCAGGTTGTGTGTTCGGGTCTGCTTGGGTATGCCTGTTCACTTGGGTTTGTAGTGCGGTCGACAAGGGAGAGGGGTGTTCGGTGGATGTGCAAAGGTCTGTTTTGGTCGTCTTCAATATCGTCTCGCCGAAAGCTGCGGGTTTGGCGACACACCATCGACGACTGTTCGCTTGCTAAGAAATTCATTAAGGGATTAGCGGACGGCCAGTTGTGGCGGATTTATTGACAACAGGAGTCTGACGAGTAACTACATCAGTAGTGATACACTGTTAAGCGTTCATTTATGTACGTCAGAGCCAAACGACGATGGTACACTAGTCATTTGAGCGTCGGCGCGTGATCAGAAAGCAAGGAAAATGGCTACCATATGCGGAGGATTATAAAGTACTTACCGACTCGATCTCAAGCCGTCTCTCCGTCATTGGTAGCCCTAGGCGTCGGGCAAGTTAGACCGCGAGTTCTTGTGCAATGCCAATCAGCGTTTGCAACTCGATGACGCACACCGTCCGATTATAGAAGTGCAAACATAGCGAGAGGAAGCATAAACATGGTCATATACTTCGCAGAAATAGAGAAAACCGAGAGCATACTCTAGCATATTTTGAATAAATGAAATCATATGTCGGAGAAGGGGATCGTATTCCAAACCAGAGAATAGATATGGAAGCATATGTCAAAGCAAAAAACGATGGGAGTCTCTCGTGATCGAGTAAGAGTTTCACTACTAGCGCATGCACGTCACTCTGATCAAACGATAAGCATCCCTCACTCCACGGAGACATAGCAAGCAACTCACGGGGCGCAGGTAAAAGGTAAACTCGATGATCAATCAGATGATGTCGACGAGGCAGAAACGCGTGTAGTGCCAGGCCTATTAACCGGTCCGAGAGCATGTGCTAGCTCCGAATAAGCGTTCACGGGCAGCGAATCAGATGGGATGGATCTGTGGATGGTCCCTCCGAAATTCAATCCGTCGTTTCCCGTTTGGGAAGCAGGGTTAGGGCTAAAACCTACATCATCCGAAGAGTGAGTATTTGGAGCTCGGACGCGGCGGAAAACTCATCTCACCATCCATATCCATCTGCCCATACTCCCCTTCACCACCTTCGTAAGGATACAAAAACATAGGCGTCGGCTCAGTCGCTGAAGGGGGATAGCCAGGGTTTGATAACTCTGGCGCTATGTCGAGGGCTGGTGATGCCGGCGACATGTAGCTGTGTATTGAATCCTGGTTGTTCTCTTCGCTTCGATGGGCGAAGAGATGCTCGGGCTGTACGACCGAGCCTAGCTGGATGTACGGGTCGGTTTGACTGTTGATCGCCTCCAATTGTCTCGCCGAGAACTGTGGATCTAACAACACACCGTCGACGGCTGTTTGCTTGCTATGAAACTCGTCAACGGATTGAGGGGGGGTTGGTGGGTGGCCCATGATAACAGATTCATCGACAACAGGAGGCTGATAGGTATACATATTAGTAGTGATACGCTGCTAACTGCTAATTCACTTACGCTAGAGTTAAACATCGAAGGTACGTTGGTCATCTGTTCGTCGACGCGTGTTCAGCAAGCAGAGAAAACGGCTGCTATATACATAGGAGTATAACTTACCGACCCGTTCTCAAGTTGTCTCTCCGGCGTTGGCAGCCCTAGGCGTCGGGCAAGTTGGGCCGCGAGTTCCTCAGCAATGCCAATCAGCGTTCGCAACTCGCTGACGCACACCGTCAGCGGCTCGTGGTCAAACGCGGGATCGGAAGAGTACGAAGCAAGTCTCGATCTCGCTTCATCGAGGACCTTTTCCACAACGTCGAAGATCTTGCGCTGAGACCGCGACCCTGCCCGTTGCTCCTCTGGCAGCATTTTCGTCACATCATACAGGTGCTGTATCTGGGTGCACAGGTCTCCCTGACCTACGACTATGTTCGAGCTCATAGCGGAGGCAGGTTGCGTGGCAGCCTCAGCTGAAAGGAAGGGGGAGACGTGCGCTGGATGTTGCGCGGTACTGGCGAAATACTCCTGCTGCTGCGCTTGCTCTAGGGTAATGTGCGGCGGCGACTGAAGTAAATTATTCTGAGGGGGGTGGTACGAAGAAGTATTAGGGTCATCATCAATGCGCGGAAATGCTTGCTCCGGCGCAATATATCCTGACCAAGGCGGTTGGTAGTGAGTTACGCCGTTGGAAGGGGCATGGTAACCTTGAGATGGCTCAGGTTGAGACGCGGAGTTCCGCGGAGTAAAAACATCACGTCCACTACCGTACAGTAACTTAATAGGTGTCAAAAGCTGGCATGATCATGTAGTGTTAGGGAAACCCACGTTGTGACTGTAGGCTTCGGGAAGTCCATGAATAACATCAGCAGGACCTTTGCCTTGGGCAGCGTCAGTGTTTCCTCCCGCCCCCCGAGTCTTGCTCTCATCGAAAGAGTGAGGGATCTCGTCCTGATAAACCTCCCCTTCAGCAATAGAGACGAAAGAACACCAACTCGGGGAACTCACGGAAAATCGAGATACCACCTGGTGCAACCCAACAACCTGTTTTCCTTGGCCAGATATGACACCGTGCGTCAGTCCTCCGGAACCTTGACCGTGGTTCCTTCCGTTTGCTCCCTGGATAAAGGCAATTATTCAACATGGTAACTTGCGAGGTCAATGCGTCGTCCGTGCCACTCACAATTAAGAGATGGGATGAACCCGCTTGGACCGTCGACACATGATCGCTTATACCTCTAAGCATGCTCTGAGAGTAAATCTGATGGAGCGCATGAGTGACAACGTCAGTGTAGGGCATCTGTGCCACTCACCATCGGACGCGACAAGTCACCGTATAGAACACCCTCAATCTCGGTACCAACTACACGACGGTTCACTTGCATGCGTCTGGAGTTAATGCCGCCTGGTGGGTAATACTGGGGTAACGCATGCTCGGGTTCGCCGAAAGGTGCTGAATGTGAGGCCCCCGCTCGCCTTTTGTTGGGACGGCGAGGAGTGCTTGATGCGACCCTCATTGGCGACGCCTTTTCCCTTCTAAGCGACGGCTGTATGGTATGACGGATGTTGGAAAAGCGCCTTGGTAAACCGGTACCGTACTCACATCCCGGTCGACGTTTGACCTTGAATGGGCGAATCGACGCTTCGACGCGTTGCACGGCATCTGAGCGGCACGCGGTAGTTGAATGTTAGTATTTTCAGACGAGCTGGATGGATGATTGATATCCTTACCTTCAAGCTATATCTAGCAGACAAGCGCAAGGTAAGCGGGGAGAGGGATGGGAGGGTGGCAAGGGAGGTTTGGTTTCAGAGCTGGACCGATGTGGACACATAGTAAACGGGGAACCGAACCAGGGTTGGCATATCCGGGGGCGCGTGCTGTAATTTCTCGCGGTTGTCCAATAATGTGAGATCACGTTCCGCTCCAGGATCAACCCTAGATTCTGCGCGATGGCACACGGGGCAGGTCCATGCTTGATGTTTCGAAAAGATGTCAGTGTTCCTCTGTTTTCCCAGTTGTTCACAGTCAACAACTCCATAATGGCTTTGTCCGAGGGTCAAACAGATCTGCGATGCAAACGATATTTCGTCAGCACGCCGCAAAGGCATTCAAAGCACGGGAACGCAACCGACTGCTTTACTAGTACTATAGTCTGGGTTAGCTGCATGAATCATGCCAATCTAAACTCACAGAAATGCAGCGTGTTCTCCGTTGCCAGTCGTCCGACTGAGTGCCTGGCACACAGGGGAGCAGGCGATTCATAGTGGTTTCGCAAGAAGCATACGGAACAACTCAGCCGATGTGCTCTACATACAGAGCATTCCGAAGACCTGATTTGCTGAGTCAATAATGCCTTGTAAGTGCTAGAGAATAGAACCTACTCTTTGCGTCTGTGGGGCGCATTGCAGTCGGATGTCTATATCAAACCCTACAATATGAAAAGTGATCATCTCTTTCGATTCGCCAGACTGGCTTCGGAGCTTTCGTTCCATGAAGACATAGCTGAACCAAGGTTTCGTGATGAGGGGTGCAGCCCGCGTAATGACAAGGGAATAACGTAGAGATCAACGCATGAGTGTACGCACAGGGACGATGAGTGGTGAGGAGCTCTGGGTAGATGTGCGTTAAAGAGAGTAATCTGCGAGCTAAGGCCAACAACACGAGTACAAGAGTGCCTACCCAAGAACAGCCCCTACCACTCCAGGCATCGCCAACAAGATGTACCAGATAGACCACGTGAAACCATCACTTTATGACGGATGAGTATACCTTGAACATAACTCAACAAACGCCAGCGCAGTCTAAGCTTTTGCCTCATCGGCAGGAGGATTCTGCGGTCGTAGTCACAGCGGAGCTTCGGCGTGCAACGAGCACATCACGGAGTTTTCGCGCTTGAATGAACCATCCTTGAGAGCACGGCATCCAGCATGTAGAACCGGAGCACAGTGAGCGTACCAGACGGGAAAATGGGACTGCAACGCGCCTCATTGCTTGCAATTGACTCAAGCCACGAAAAGTTTGGAAGATGGGGACGGGGATGGATAAGATGGCTTTCAAGGGCGTACCTGTACACATAGCTGAATCCCAACTAGCTTCAAAACACTCTCAACGACTCCAATGGTACGGTCGTCCTATCGGTTTAACAGCTCTGGCCATGATGATGCTTGGAGACCAGTGGTTTGCGCATGTGCATAGTAGTCCAGATGTAGACTATTATGACATATGTGCAAGCCACTGCCTTTGAGGTCCAGCTAAACCGTCTTGTCAGCACCAAGATAATAGGAGTGCGACTGGCGTGTGTAGGCGTTCATGCGGGGGGCGACTGTGGGCGCAGGCGAGAAACTGTGCGGCGGCTGAGCGGCTCCGAAGCTCGGCGAGAATTGAAACGGCCCGTGAGAATATACCGGAGGTTGCGGGCCGCGGGGAGCAAGTCAACCTCGCTCTTGCGTCAATGGCGTCCGATCATCGCGGACGCGCGCGTTGGCCATATCTTAGTCACCCATCGCTAGAATTGCGAGGTCTTTCTTGCCTTAGCCAAGGTCGTCGAGTGTTTCTATTGCTCCTGTGCTCCTAAACATCTGTTATGGCAAAACGTCGAAGGCATGACATGCAGTAACCTCATGTGCGTGGCTGATTTTGATCAAGTTAAAGGCGAGTAAACGATGCCGTATGTGCAAGTTCGAGGCATATTTCACGTTTAATATCCTTACGAGGTACGACAGCAGGAAAGTGGTGCTTACAATGTCGCATTTTGAGGAAGAATGGAACAGAACCGGGTTTGACTCGGCTGGTGCGGCCGAGTCTGTCCCAGGTCTTACTCGGTTGGAAGACGCAGGCGGGCCCGCCGCCAGCAGTTTCAGTTATCAACCGTAACTGTGCATACTAGCCGTGTTCATATGTCCCCCCACGCAACTACAAAATGCACGTTTTATTCTTACGCGGCACAAGGGGTACACCGGGATTCGGGAAGCACTGTTGTTGGACGCACGTCGGAAAATGGTCCACATACGACCACGCAGAGCTATCGAGGGGCAGTCCAGCCCTGATTCTGTTAGCCCACAGACGAGTGCGAGGGAATAGAAGTGTTGAAGTCGTAATGGTTCCACCAAGAACACACAGGTGAACGCCTGCTTTGAAGATCTAGTGGAGTGGTGCACTGTGTCTTCGTGCGTTTCTTTAATCACCACTGTCGGATATTCGCCTGACGACGTGTTTCCTGTGAACATATAGTAATGACGTATTGATGCGCGAGCCCCATGATATGGTTGGCAGGGAAGGCACCTTTTGTGCCGCGGACGAATGTGGAGACACGCACAAACGTTGCATGTTGAACGTATGCTCCACGAATCAATCAGACAGTCGGTCGTGCATAATCACAGGACTTAATTACAAGCGCTTCATACAACCAAGAGCATAGCGAGAGGACGGATAAACATGGGTATATACTTCGCAGAAATAGAGAAAGCCAGGAGCATACTTTGAATAAAGAGGTCATATGTCGGAGAAGGAGATCATACTTCGAACCAATGGATTGAAATGGAAGCAAAAGTTAAAGCAAACAAAGGATGGGAAATTTCTGGTGATCGAGTAAGAGTTTCACTACCACGCACGTCACTATGATCAAACGGTAAGCATCCGTCCGCGGAGACATAGTACTTAAACAACTCACGGGGCGCGTACATTTGACGTTTACATGGCACAAGGCAAGTTCGATTATCAATCGGACGATGTCGACGGGCCAGAAACGTGTGTAGTGCTAGGTCTGTAAACCGGCTCGAGAGCGTGTGCCAGCTCCGAATAAGCGTTTACGGGCAGCGAATCAGATGAGATGGATCTGTGGATAGATCCTCCAAAACCCGGTCCGTCGCTTCCCGTTTGGGAAGTAGGGTTAGGGCTAAAACTTAGATCATCCGGAGAGTGAGTATTTGGGGCTCGGACGCGGCGGAAAACTCATCTCACCATCCATATCCATCTGCCCATACTCTCCTTCACCGTCCTCGCAAGGATACAAGAGCATAGGCGTCGACTCCGTTGCTGAAGGGGGATAGCCAGAGTTTGATAATTCTGGCGTTATGTCGAAGGCTGACGACGCCGACGACGCGTAGTTGTGTGTTAATCTCTGGTTATTCTCTTCGCCTATCGAAGCGAAGAGATGCTCGGGGTCTGAGACCGAATCTAGTTGGATATATGGGTCAGCCTGGCCCTTGTTCGTCTCATACAACAACGAACAGATGGAAGACGACAGGTTCGTCTTTGTCCTCTTTCTCGGGGATTCATTGGAGGGGCCAGCAGGTACATCTTCTGTGGTAACGTCATCGTCGACCACCTTCCGCTTCCCCTTGGTGTCGACTCGGGGAGCGCTGGTTTGACCATCGACAGCCGCGGATCCCGCGAGGGCGGAAGCCTAACGGAGATCAGATCAGAAAATTTCATTTATCAAGATAAATCCACGCACGTTTGGCTTGCGGGAGACACCTTGCAGAGATAGGACGGGAGGCGGTAAACCCGAAATAGGCAGAGAACATGGTAGATTGGGAGGAGGTACCCTCGCGGGTGTTTGGCTGGTATGTCCCGTTGTCGCAGTGTCGCCCACGTGGATTGATGTCCCATTCGGCGCAGGTAAACTTCCGTTATTCTATGTGAATGTTAGCATGTGAATGATGAGCTTCAAAGAAAAACTTACTACATTGCCCGAAGTTTCACCCTGGCGAAGGTACGGGTCCGTCAGCGCCCGGGCAGGAATGCTCTTCGCGAACGAGTCGAGGGCCTGCTTGAAGAGCCGCGTCTGGTCCATCAGCAACAACCGGTCGTCCGCAAATTTCCCCATTACTTCCCTCGGGATTGCTGAATAGTCAATGATAATCCCATCGATGAGTCCCCTAATGGCTCTAACACGCGTGCAAAAGTCGACCAAGGAGTACAGTGGTGGTCGTCTTTCCTTCGGAAGGCAGTTAATCAGTACAAATATGTTCTGATTGTTTACGTAATGGGCTCCGGGATGAGAAGGTGGGCCGAGCAACTTGAGGAAGACGTCCTCATCTCCGTCGGGAGGAGGGTCTCGTGATATAGCAGGACACAGACTAGAGGGAGGCGGTACCTGTGCAGTGCGGGCGGTATAACCCGTAATGACCGTTGAATGAACGTTCTGTGGTACATGCTGGGCGGTGAGAGGCTGCGGCTTGGTTGAAGCCAGGGGTAAAGCACCGATAGGGTATGGGTGATGCAACATGACAGGACGCCCATACTCCCCGGGTCCAGGAAAGTCCTTGAAGCGGTCGACGGGCGTGCCCTGAGACTCAGTTAGCGCGGGTTCATGAACGCTGTCGACATCGGCTACCTACCTCAGAGAGAATGTTCCGCTGCTCGTTGTCAGACAGCTTCGAACCAGGTGTATGCTTGTTCTGCTGCGTCTGTTCCGGAGCTGCATGGTTTTCTTGCGCTACAAAGTGGCCAGGTTCGAGGGGATCCTTCCAGACCTGATTTCCATGAGAAAAGGGGGAGCAACGAAGAAATGACGACGACGAACGTACAATTGGGTTGCAGGATACTTCGGAGTTTTCATCGATAGCAGAAGGAGTCTGACCATGGATAACAGCTCCATCCGAAACTACCGACGGAGACGAGGCGTCCTGGACGGGAGTGTTGACAAGCTATGTCTCGTCATTAAGCGCTCTGAGCGAGGTAAACACCGACAAGGAAGACTCACCGGGGTTTGATGAGTAGCTATGTCCGACTCCGAAGCTTGTTCGCCCTCCTCAACGTGAGTGGCATGGTGTCCCTGCTCCTCGGTCGTACCCGTATACTGAGAACAATAGGTGAGTACGACTGTCTGCAAGGTCAATGCGAGTGTTACTCACCTTCTGGGGTTTGCCGAGGGTGTTGACGATATCACTGGGTAACAGGTATCCCAACATGAAGGTTTGCAATCCAGGCTCTTGCAGAGGCCGCGGAGGCTGGTGAGGGACGCTAGGAGAACTAGACTGCGATTGAGGCGGCACAGTTGGGGTGGCGGATGTACGCGGGGGATGTTGGCCATGCGACATCACGGACTTATTGGAAGACATCTGCGTAGTACATTACTGGCGTCACAGTGCAAGAAGAGGCAACACTTACTATGTGAGCCTTGCGCGAAGCGTTGGGATTGAATTTGCTTGAGAGAGGCTCGTGCGCGTCTTGTGGCATCTGAGTGGCACATTTTAGTTAATGGGAAGAAGTCAGAGTCAAAGCGCGCATTTCCTTACATTTGAGTTACAAGGATAATTACGAGGGTGCTGGAAAGGATGAACGGAAAGGAGGGATGGTGAAGATGGTTCAGCTGTAGAGGCTGATCTATAAGGAACCATTGGGGGAGGGAGGGTCTAGGTCGCTAAACAGAGCGGAGCGTGTTGCAATTTCGCGCGGTTATCGAAAGCATGCTCAGGGTCACCCCAGATTTTACGCCGGTGGCACATGTGTCGGGTCTGTGCGTGATGCGCCGTGACATTTCGGAGCCTCTTTCAACCCTTCATTATTCGGGAGCGTACACCACACGTCCGCAGGCTAAGAGAGAAAGTCGGTGGAAGATGTGTGTCATTTTGCAGAGATATCGCAAGAGCAGAGGATAGAAACACACGAGATTCTGGGTAGAATATTTCCAGCTAGCGACGGGTCAGTGCACTAGGCCGGTCTATACAGATAAACCGGCTGAGACGATGCGGTCGCGGACCTCGAAATTGCGCGTTTGCCGCCTGTATCAGTACAGCTTGTTTAATCTAAATGAAATCATGGTTAATTGGGACCTACAACAAAGCAATGTTAGATCCATCACGAGACCATGTGCGCAACACATGTTGTTCGGTACAGACGGAAACACGTAGTTTCATCAGAACAGAACAAGAAAGGCATATCGATGTTTGCATAAGCGCGCAGCATTATGACTCACCGAAGCGATATCAATGAACAGGCAGCACGGCTAGCCGAGAAACGCGCTTTGCCTTTTATGACGCAGCTGGCGATGGCCACTTGGTTTTTTATCCTGGTAAGGCGAACAATCAGGCCTCATCCTTTTCATGACGTCAAAGCTAATGAGCGCCGGGATGCACAAACGCACAGGTGGTAAAACATGGAGTACGAGTTATTCTGTGTCTTCATGCATATGTATAGCATGTAATGCCCCTGGACATAGAGGGCGGGGAGAGGTGGTGTCCGTGAAATGACGAGATCTATCAATTTCGCTGAGAAGGGTGTCAGGGTAGAACTGGTTCGAGGGAAGTGAAGATGCGGAGATGAAAGGAAGCACTGCCCAGAAGTTGTACGTGATAAACAGCAGGTTGAACGCGAGACTGAGTATGTCGCCTGGCCCTTAATGTACAGCATTGAGGGAACTGGGGAGAGGAACGACATAGCAGCACCACCGAGCACTAAGCGCCCGTTGTCAGTTCGACAGCCACGAGATACAACCGGCAATTTCTAAGAGTCTCAGGCATGAGCAATGTCTGAGGTGCCCTATGCCATATCTTCAACGCAAGGATGCAAAATATACCTTTCAGTAGAGACAGAACCTAGCCCTAGGCTCCCTTAGCGAACAGACTCTTGGACCTAGCGAGAGCGGCAACGAGGCTGGGGGATCTGCGGATCTGCGAACATGCCAAGCGGTCCATAGACAGAACGTTGTTGCATGTTCGCAACTGCATTCTCCTATGACCAGAACTGGCTGTCTTGTTGGTGTGTCGGTGTCGTGGGCGGGTGTGGGCGCGGGTGAGAAAATTTGGCGGGCTGCGCTGGTGGGCACCAATAAGCGTGGGAAGTCGTTCACCCGCGCACCTGCCACGTCGCGCTGGGCGGATAGGGGACACGACCAACTGGCAACCTCTGAGCCAATGGCAGCATCCCTCATCTTCTCATCCAGCGTGTTTCAATAGCTCAGCGCCTTCAAACTCATAGAACGTATCGGAGATACCTCAACGCACGTCAAAGAGGTCGATCTTGGACAACTGCATAGAGGGCTGTGTTCGACTTGGAGTTGTGCCCGTGCGTCTTCGTTAGTCTCAGTGGTTCTGCTTTTCTTGCACAGCTGAATGGAATCATTGACAGACTGCGCATAGTTATGTGTATAGATTGCTAGGTGGGGACACGCTGTATATGCGATCCGCCTTGATTGAGGAGTGAGTCTATTGATGGGGTAGCGCGCCCGTCCTTTCCGAAGCGCGCTCATACGGGCTGATATGTTTGTTGAATCCGGGTATGAAGGTCTTACGTTCAGAAATTTCTCTCACTGTTACAGGAAGAAACATAGTGCGGAGTTCAAGGCGTCGCCGTTCTGCTACATGTTTGCACGACATCGGTGAGGCTGGTGGAAGGGTTTCCAGAGTGCGTACTTGGTATGCAATAATCTCATATCTGACGTGCTATTGTATGCCACTCTTATCAGCTAGCAGGTCCCTATCCGTAGCCATGCACCGTCACGGGTGCAATCATGGCATGGCTACGAGACCATCAATCGCGAAGGATCGCCTATTGTACCGGGAATTAGATTATCTGGTCACTTCGCCTACATCTACCCGCTAGTGCTCGCACTCAGGCTGCGTCCAACAAAATCTTTCGGCTTCGCACGGCTTGGCCACTGCCTGAAAAGGACTGTGTATTGATTCAGTAATATCAAAGGACCGGTCCGAGTAAGGCCGCCGTCTACTCCCTTGTGAAGAAGCCGTGCCTTGAGAATCTTCGGTGAGCTGTCTTAGTGGCCTTCTTGATTGGCACATGGCTGAACCTCACAGCTTTTCATACGATATGATGGCCAAGCCCTTGGTTTGAGTATCACAACCTGGTTCCTATCATTATGCTGGATACGCCACCACTTAGAGAGATCTTTCGATAGCCGACCCATCGCGTCCACTCGCCGGATAGTTGACTTCAGTTACGCATCTCAATTTGTACTTCTCAATGTCTCCGCCTCCTAACATCGCGAGCCTTTTGGACTTCGTGGGGAAACGGCGGCACTGAGGTGTGTGCGTACTTGCTCGGAAGCTAACGGTTGCCAAATAATCACCACGGGGACACAGCATTGCTTATGTCTCATCTGCAGTGTATCACTTGGAAAAAGCACAAGAGCAACATACTGCGCATTATCGTCTGTAGGTGTTTGATGATTCGGCTGCAATGGCTATCTCACAAAGCTCGAAAAACTAACAACGAGTCTTAATACTTTAGAGTGTTTCATCAAGCTGCTGAAGCCGGTGACTATACCCAGCTCTCAGCGAGCTAGTCTCACCGGGTCCAGTCCTTAGCTTGGAAGTGCAACGTTGTTGTACATTTTCACTGGTAACGCTAGTGACCGGATCAAATACTCGGTGCCTCTCTATGGCCCCTTGGCTCGTTTCAGAGGAGGGGCGCCAGGGGCAGGAACGCTTGAAAGCTCAAGCCTCGACGCGTCGGACAGGCACTCAAAGCACTCAAGGGTTCCGTCCAATCACTCTTAACAAAACGTCCGGAGACGGCCGCAGGAACAGCGCTATGTCGTAGGAATGTGATATCGCTCTCCAGCCTGCCATTTAGGTGAGCACGTTTCTTAGCAAGCCTAGAACATATGAGTATCTTTCCATTATAGACCTAGCAGTCTCATACAATACCCGCATTTTTCATGGTCTCGCGGTTCATTGGACAGGAAAAAATGCCAAGGGGAAATCTGCTCCATTTCTAGCAGTCTTCCGCGGAGATCGTCCAAGATAAAGCATCGCCACTGCGATTCTTCGAGTGGACCTTCCTGCCTTCTTGCTTAGGAACGCATTCGGTAGCACACTTCGCTCTCCTTTCAACACGGAGTTGAGGCCGCCCAAGTTCTCCGAGGTGTAAGCATCCACTGTAAGCTCGGCAGCTCGCTCGAAGCACAGGTGTGGCTGACTGTAAACGTCAATTTATATGCACAGCGGTTCTGTCTTATCCCACCTATCACAAGCCCAAGAGGGACACCGCGCCGGTCTCCCGCCCTTCAGCTTGCCACGGCTGTCTGGTGGCGCACGATTGACCGCATTGTATCAGTACAGCAGTCTTTTTATAAGGGTTTACTTTCTCAGGATTTGCTGCGCTCTACCGGGCTCCCGGGCGCTTGTTGGCGGCCAAGCTCGGTCGCCGATCTCTGATGGTGACGCAGATCAACGACTTTTGAGGAACTGCACACCAAAAGCGTCTTTTGCACAGGCGCGGTGAAATGCGATGGCACAATGCAGCACAGTGCCCTCTCAGAATGTTTTGATTCTGCCATCACCATGCTGGCCACGATCAGCCTGTGCTCCGTTGCTGGCAGGCGCGTTAACGTTCTGACACGTTCTGTCAGTAACAATCGCGCAGGAACACCGCCCGGAGCGCCCGGAGCGTCCTTAGCCCCGTTCATGCTCTGATGGCCTCTAGCGAGCTAGCTCACAGACGGCAAACATGCAAAGACGAAAAATCGGTATAAAGGACTGGGATATGGCTCTCCGGACGAATCGGCCCCCTTTGAGTAGCGTCTTCCCTTGACCTGTTCCCCGTCTCACTTTTTCTTCTTTTTTATTGTGCTTCTCCTCGCCGAGCGGGTCTTCCTTTAACCATACATATTCATGGCTTCTCTAGGTTCACAGTCGTCGGCGTTGTCCACGCACTCCATGCCTTCTTTTTCATTTACAGATGCTTCTGGCTCGGCGGGCCCCTCCCCCGCACTCACCACCACTTCGATGTCCTCCGAGGTTCCTCCTTGCCCATCTTCGAAGGCTGACCTCGAGGTTGCGTCGACGCCCGCATCTGGGTTCGACTACTCGCGCTTCTCATGGCGACAGCCCTGCCCCGACGCTCCTGGCTACTTCGAGCGCGAGGCTTTCGCAGCGGAGATGATCCTCGATACGTGGCACCGCTTCGCGCACGGCGAGCAGACGCTCTTCCTCGGTGTCGACCTCTCCCTCCCTTCCTCCCCTTCTCACACTCTTTCCGCTGCCGAATTTATCGACGCCGTCCGTTCGGCGTGGTCAGCACTGCGCTTCGACGTCCCGACGGTCGCATCGCACACGTCCTACACGTGTGATACGGTTCACCCGCTGGTTACCTACCAGTCTGCAGCGTCTGCGTCGGACGTCGCGACTTGGGCGAAGCGTACGGTTCGCGGCCGCGGCGACATCCGTGGGCTCGAGACCGTGCGTACGCTCGACGAGCTGCGGTACGAGGTCGCCAAGCGTACCATTCCCGAAATCACGGGCGACCAGACTTTCATCTACGTCCTCGACAAGCCTTCATCGCCCTCTCAAGGAGGCAAGGACCGTAGTGCAGAATACGGTCTATTGCTGCACACGTCGCACGTCCCGTTCGACGGTGCGGGAACGAAGATCCTCATGACGCTCCTGCTCAGGCACCTCGCTGCTGTCTTGGACGGTAGATGTGACCCCGAGGCGTGGCGCTCCTTGGCGTGGGGCGAGGAAGGAGCTAACTTGCTCCCGAGCGTTCCGGATTCCCTTGGCCCTACTGAGGAGAAGAGTGGTCCAGTATACGAGGAGACGCTGAAGGAGACGATGAAGGATTACGCAGAGTGGTTCCCGGTTCGTATTTTCGTTATTCACCCGACTGCGAAAATCATTTAATTTAAGGGTATAGAGGATGTATGGGTTCAAACCGCGCAACATTGGACCCGGACCTTCGAACAGGATTTGGAGGACGTTCTCGAAAGAGAAGACTTCCCAACTCGTTCGTGCTAGTCGTGCGCAAGGCTTCACACTCAACCAACTTGGTAGGTCTCTTGAATGCTTGCTACATACCTTTCGTCCTGATTTTTTTTTGCCCAGCTCATGCTGCCGTATACGTCGTCTGCTCTAATGACAACCCCATCCCGATCGATAGCAACGGTGCCTTTGTCAACTTTGGGCTCCGGAATAGCCGTTCTACCCTCGCACCGCCGTACAATACCGCGGACGGCTATCCTGGTTTCTGCCTTGGCATTTCAGTCGTCGCCGTACCTTGTTCAGTATTCGTCGAACTCTCTGACGAGCCTCTCCTATTCCGAGTGGCGAGGAGAGTCAAACAGGGGTATGTGAAGATGAAGGAGCTCCCTTCGCTTACTGCCGTAGCCGGGGAGCAGATGGAGATGGTCATGAGGCCAGCGAAGGAAGGACAGGAGTACGTAGCTTTGTCCTTCAACTTTGACTCGAGAGATGAGATACGATGGCTAACGAGCTTGATTTACTAGGTTGCCGCCACCTGCTATGGGCCCATGGTTCTCCGGCGATGGTATTGGCGAGGACTACCTGCAACCTGTCTACAGAGGTGCCCAGGGTGCCGAGGTGATACGTGTAGAGGACTTCTTCACGTCGCTGAACAAACAGGATCCTGGCCCGTACGTTTCTGCCACTATCTATCTGTTGTTTGTCTCCAAGCTCACTTGAAATTTGACAGGTTCTTCCGGTGCTTCACGTGGAACGGGCATCTCCAACTTAGCGTCGACTACAATGAATATGCGATGCCGACGCCCCTCATGCAGAGCTGGCTGGATGAGTGGGTGGGTCACCTCGAGGGCATTCTGCCCGCTGACAATTCGATGCCTGGTGAATGCACGATGGCCAACGAGACCATCCTGCCCACGCAAAATCCCAACTCGCTGTCGATCCGATCACTCACAAGGAAGATCAGCAGCCTCTTCAAACGCGACTCGTAAATATTTTGGGCTTTCGTTTCGTATTAACACTTTCTCCCATCTGTACCGGGTAGTCGCCACTGGTTTGGCGAGTTGTTTTGTTCACGTTTCCTTGTGCTATTCGTTATGCAAGGCTTATCTTAGGTGTAGATAATCCTTATTTATTCGGTTGTAACCTATCATCCCCTATTTTGTTTTCTACATAGAGTCGCGAATCTATACACGTACTATATCATGGGTCTCAAGCAAAGGGAATATCTAGGGTGTTGTGAACCAGTGAAATAGACAGGGGCTAGTTCGCTTAGGGCGGGGTGGCAGCGCCGACAAGTTTGGGCGCTTGTTCGCTGCGCGTCGTGACCGCGTCGAGGCGCGTCGCGTTCCACTTCTCCCTTCGCCTATCCCTTATACCTGAGGCTCGCAGCCGACCACGCTCAGCTCATTCTGTCTCTATCTAACACTCGGTATCACGTCATCGTCGAACGCCTCTCGTCTACGAAGATGACGTGCCAATGCTGGTCCAATGGACCATTAAAGAATGACGCGCTAAGTGGACTGCTCGCATTGTCTCACAGGACCGTCGGATATTTGTTCTCCGACGATCCCTAGTACGCTATGGGACTGGATGCGAGACCTCAAGGAGTTATTTGTTGGAGACTTTGGAACCGCGTCACTCAGTTTCGTATCAGACTGGTACGTCACGGTAGCCCCTCAGCTCTCGTTTCACCAGGGGCTGACGGTCTCGGTTCGTTATAAAAGATGGCCTTTCGTTGGCCCTCATCCTTTACCAACTACCTCAGCAACTCAAGCAGATCCAGGTGATCTCTCGCAACAAGTAACTCGCATCAAGATCCTCAGCACTTCATCGCACTTCATCGCATATCATCCGCGACAGGCTTCGCCTACATCCACACATACCACTACCTGAAATCACTCAACGATGGTTTTCGTTACTCCTCGCTTTGCTGCCCTCGCTGCGCTGTGCGCGCTTGTGGCCATCACCGCACCGTCGACTGAGGCTGCGTATGTCCAAGTTCGCAACCCCGGTGCGACCTCCTCGACCAACCTCGCCCGCAACCCCCCTGTCCTTCCTCTACCCGCTCAGCTCGCTGTCAAGCACTCCAAGTTGAAGGTCAAAGGCGGCGGGAAAGACAGGTCCAAGGGCGATGAGAAGCACAAGAAACAGGGAGCGGAGAAACCGGGGAGCGGGAAGGGGAAGGATGGTGATAAGAAAGAGACGTCGGGGAAGGATGAGGATGACAGCGGGAAGCGAAGCCTTCCTGATGAGGTTTGTTTTTTATTCTTCGAGTTTTTCAAGCATATGCTCACGTTTGATTGCAGAAGGACATCATGTCTCGCATCACTGGCAGAGCCCATGACCACGATCACGACCATGACCATGACCACGACCACGACCACGACCACGACCACGACCACAGTCACGACCATGATCACCGTCGTGCGTTAACAGACAGGTCGGACGCGCATGTACACGTTCATGATCACGACCACCACCATGGCGACAAGCATGACCATGTTCACGAACACGATCATCGACGGAGTCACGGCCATGATCACGATCACGACCATGACCACGACCACAGTCATGATCATGACCACGATCATCACCACCGTAGGAGCCCGGACCAAGATCACGACCATGAGCACGACCACGACCACGACCACGACCACGACCACGACCACGACCAAGACCACGACCACGGAGTCGACCACGACCACGATCACGATCATGACCATGACCACAAGCGCTCCGTCGTCCAACCCCTGAGGAACACCAGGGTATCGGGCCGCCGTCAATTGCATGGGCGCCCCGGTAGGCGTTCCTCGGTTCTCATCCCCAGCGAGGCTGGAGATTCGTACATAGTCACCAGCGAGCGGCGCTCGCCTTTCTCACCTCCCAGTGTTGGCGAGCGGGCCGCCTCCGACCCTATCTCAGTGGAGCGAAGGCAGGACAGTGGGATGGGTCGTGGGGTCCCCGGTCGGATTGATGTCATGGTGTGTATTCCTTTATGACTATAGGTTACATCCTTACTCACGGATGCTTCCTTGGACGATGTAGATGCCGAGTTTTTCGTCAGGTCCAGGCAACGAGAACTTGGCCGAACCCCATCGTCTTGCGTCCCTCATGCTCGATGAGAGTGCGATGACCCAGGCTCAGGATGGCATGGGCTCTTCTTTTGCACAGAGCACCTCCAACGGCACGGCTGGCTCTGTCCAACCTGCGAGCTTTGCGCTCAATGCATCGAACCAGAACAAGACTCGATTCTACATCGTTGCTGCCTCTGATCAGGGTGTGTTTTGCCTCGTTTTCTATTAATGCTATCAAATACTAATTAAACTCGTTTTGTGTAGATCCTGCAAGTCCAGACGTCCATGTGACGGTTCAACTTCCCGTCTTCGACGCTGCGCAGGCGCGGCTCGTGCAATACTGCGCGACGTTTGACCCGAGCCCGGTCAAACCCGCGCCGTTGTCAATGCAGAAGTGCTTCGCTGCCACACCTCCGCCGTTCCCACCTCCGGACGACTCGTCTGCGAACTCGACCTCGACGTCGTCTTCGCCTGATGCACCCTCGGCGTCTTCCGCTCCTGCCAACCTCGCGTCTATGGCCGTGGGAGGCAACGACAAACTGAGCCAGCTCTTCTCGTACAATGCGGAGAGTGGAGTGCTTCTTCCTGTCTGGAACCGCGGGGATCCGAGTCAAATGGTGGCTTCAACTGGGTCAAGTTCGTCAAACGACACTGATTCGAGTTCGAGCTCGAGCTCGATGTCGGCAACGCCCACCGACTCTACATCCGACTCTTCAGTCATATCTTCTTCTGCGACCTCTTCTACAACTGCCACCACTCCCTCCGCTACATCCACTTCCAGCGGATCAAGCTGCGCTGCGCGTGGCGAGCTGGATGAATGTGAGGGCGAAGGCGGGTCAAATGGTGCACCCGTCGCAGAGCGCGACGCTACCACCATTGACAATACCGACTCGTCTACCGTCACTCCTTCTCCTTCCGCGTCCTCAACAACCTCGAGCGCGCCCACATCGACAAGCACTCCTCAGAGCGTGCAGCTCGTGTTCAGGCCTGATGGTCCCGAGGTCCTTCCCCCTGATACCACACCTTCGTCTCAGGCCAATGCCCAGAAAGATGGTGATGATCAGGGCGACGGCGACGCTCCCAGCGCACCGGGCGACAGCCCGGATGATGGTGACAGTCCGGACGACATCAACGAGACAGTCACAGTGACATCATCCTCGACTGTAGCGACCACCACTGCGACTGTAACTGCTTCCACCTTCAACTCCCAGTCGCAGATCACGTCCAGTGCTTCGCCTTCTGGATCGCCCGCTGTTCAGGCGGCGATGTCGACTGCTGCGCCTGCTTCATCGTCAAGTGTCTCGACCACTTCGGCGGCGGCTGAGAGTGCTCCACCTTCAAGCATGTCTGACTCGTCTGGCTATCCTTCGCCTTCCTCTTCGTCCGCGATGTCCGATTCTACGGGCGAGAATTCGCCAGGCATGTTCATACAGAGCAGCGACGCCCGCAAGGCCCATCACCCTGCAAGCTTTGCCTCCAGTCGCACCACGTCGCCAACAGACAGCCCCTCCGCCACCACCTCTGCCACTCCTTCCGCGTCGCAGTCGTCGTCTGACGATGATGGCTGGAGCTTCTCGATTGATGCCGGTCTCGGTGCTGGTGACGGCAGTGACGGCAACAGTCCGTCCAACACCGGTTCTGCTACGCAGCCCAAGCACACGCGTCCCACCCGTCCTACGTCGGATGACGATGGTCAGGGCGATGACGAGAACTTTGCCAATGGCGCTAACGTCATCGTTGGACCTAACGCTGGCGCGGCTCCGACTCGTCGCTCGCCGGATTTCCCTTCCGAGACCGGTACCCCCGCTCCGGCCCCCGCATCTTCAACTGCGGACTCAAGCGCCAGTCCTCCTCCGAGTGCCGGATCGCCCTCTGCCCCGGTCGATCCCAACGCCAGTCTCTTCACCGAGATCCCCGCGCCTTTGACGCCGAGTGGTGCGCCTGCTCCTGGGGCCCCCACTGGTGCTCCTGCCGCGTCGTCTTCGACTGCCTCTCCCTCTGCCTCGGCTAGTTCTTCCAGCCCGAGTTCAACACAGAGTGGGACTTCTTCCGCCAAGGCTGCGAAGTTGATGTTCGGCGGTCGTCGTCCGTCGAGTAAGAAGTTGTAATGCTCGGCTGGTTTGGTCCCTAGTGAACGCAGTATCCTCAGAGTAGAATAGTTGACTCGATGTAGCCAGGTTAATTGTGCGAATAAAAATGAGGTCTAAAAAAACCCTTGTCCAATGTTTTATTCGAAGTTAAATTCTTCGGCACGATCAAAGGTAAGATTCCCGCCCGCTTTGTGATTTCGATTATTTTTCTATGTCTTTGGTGTTGTTATGATCACACTTCTCCTAACGTTACCTTTTCTGGCCTTTTCGGAAATTATTTTCGCCCGGTTCAAGTCTTCCAGACGTGTTCTGGACGTGTGAGATTTCGCTAATTATCTGGGGTCCAAATATCATGTCAATGACCTCGTGCATCAGATGGAGCAAACAAGAATATGGAACCCCTCAAATGGCGTTCTCGCAGGATCGTTGCATGACGATGGCACCGCGGCTCGAACGCAGTTCCGCGTTGACAAGCGGAAGTAATTTGCCGATCATGGCCGCCTTGGTATTTTCCCAGACTTTGTTGGCAGAAGTCTAAACGTCTGACACCTTGTACTAAGCTTTTTCGGGAAACATTAAACTTCCTTGTGATCGTGCTCCCATTCTAGGGTCCTCTCGCCTTGCTTGGACAATGCTTTTGTCGCGAGGCTGTGGCGGTTGTAAAAGCAGACAATCGGGCTCAGCAGCCCAAGTCACGGTCGGTGATATCAGTGCGTGCTTCGACGGGTACCTCGAAACAGACACGGGATAGAATGCGCTTCCGTCATCCTCTCGAGAAGCTTGATGATGTGATTGGCGCTCTCGGAGGATCTCAAACCCGGCGGCGGATCTATCAAATGAAGCCGATGTCTCGGGTAGCCGACCGACATGGTGGCCTCGACATATTTTCTATGGCCGCCGTGACTGCCACTCCAAGCGAACAAAGGGTATGTTGCGGCATCATTCCCTGCAGAAAATGAGGTTATTACAGGGAAAGGGCAGCAAATTAAACGGGCTCTGGAGCTGCAATAAGTGCAAGACCATCTAGCCAAGTACGGTCTCGAATTGGGCGCAGGCGATGCCAACATGAAGGTCCAGACGTCCAGAGCCGACGTGACTGTACCAGGGGAGTCCCTGAAAAGAAGCCTCATGTCATAATATTATTGTCTGATGGCAGGCGAATCGCACCGCAGCATCTCTCACAAGGATCCACAACAAAACACGCCACTGAGGCCTTGCCTCAAAGCGTGACTCGCCCCCGCCTTGACTTGCTGTGTAGACACGGGTATTTAACCAGTTCACTCCCTCTTGAGCTTCACTCCAACCGCGCCTTTGTTTCTGCTTCGTTCACTCTCACGATGGAACAGCTATATGACCCACTCTTCGATACTCTCGACACTATAGTTCCTCATCCTCCCGTCGACCCGTCTATGCTGTCCTTCGACATGTACACGCTTCCCAGTGACACAGGCGATACAGCTGACTTCTTCAGCGTTCCCGGCCTTGATCTAGACGATGCAACTTATTTATCTCTTCTTGCTGATCTCCGCTCCGACGTCCTCTCGACATCCGCAAACCCGTTTCCATTGTCCTTTTCCGCGTTGGGAATTCCTGGCGTCAATGAGACGACAGTGTCTTCATCATCCACTACCTCTTCGAGTCCTACATCTTCCTCTGCTTACGGCACTGCTCGCTCTACGACGCCACCATCCAGCGTCCGCCAGACCATGACACTGCCTCCCGTCGAAGCGGAAGAGCTGACTTGCCATGATGTACCCTCAACACCCGCTGGTACCTCTAACCATAGCCAAGCATTCCCCGTAGTCGTCTCGGAACCTCGTATCATCCACGCTGCCTCTCACCCATCTACGTTCTCAACCGCTCCTCGTGCGTCGTCCCGGCGCAAGACCGCAAGCAGTACCGCTGCCTTCAGGTCTTCATCAAGCTCTTCTGCCGCGCCTAGAAAAGGAAAAGTCTCAGTCTACCAGGCTAATGTGAGTATCTCGATCCCTTTTCCTGCTTAGCGCGCTCACACGTAGACGTAGCCTGCACCCGGGGCCACTCCTCCGACTACTGTACCGACACAGACGACGTGGCGCCCAACGCCCCCTTCCAGGTAAATTTCAGACTGTTAGCCTCAGTGACGCTCTGCTTACTTCACGTGTGTATGATAAGGCAAATCAAGGAGCCCTCGCAGACCCTTGTGAACGTGGTCCCCACAGGACGCCCCGGAGAGTACACTTCGTTACCAGAGCCAGAACGCACGAAAGGGTTCATTCCGCCACCGGTACCAGAGCGGGAAGATAAAGCTGAACTATTTCGCCTGCCTAGACTTCCAGATAAATGGGTAAGTCGCAAAAGTTGTAACGCAGTCGCTGGATGCTAAGTGCAATTATAGGAGACCCCTGCAGAGTTCAATCGCTACTTGACGGAGAGGCAGTGTTGGGGTTTCTACGGACTTAACATACACACCATCGGTCAATGCATCATTAAGCAGAGCCCCGTTTCTGCGGGCGATGCAGAGTTGGATCAGCTTCTTCGGAAGGTCGTCAAGAGAGTTGTAGAGCTGCTCGCAGAGATAGATCCGATCAACCACGGGAAACTCTCAGCGGAGAACCAGACAGTGAGTGCTCATTTCAACTACGTAGGATGTAGCCGACGCTCATGTATTACTTTCAGAACGATGTTCAAACTTCGTCGACGACCGATCTCGCTCAAGATGTCACGAGTGTAACAGATAAGGGCACTGCATCGTCGCCCACCAAGACGTCTCCTTCAGGTGTGCCGCTTAGACTATTTATTTCCCGGGATGAAGACCGCTTACCTATTATCTCAAGAAATTCCTGCTTCCGTTGAAGGTTCTCCCGACGCGCGATGCGAGATCGCCCAAGATCTACCCGCACCCATCGCTCCCGTGCCTCCGACCAGCACTTCGTCTCCCGTCGTTGATGGCGAGAAAACGCAAACCGTACGCCATCGCATCTGCTGCTACATCATTGATTTGCCTAACCGCTTTGTTGTATAGCCTCGTGGCCAAGCCTCCACCGCTGCTCGTTTTGTTCGCAAAAATGCGACCAAAACAAAGCAGCGGGTGGAAAGTAGGAAGAAGACAGAACCCGCCACATCGCTGTCTAAGAGATCGAGGGAAGACGACGAAGACGCTCTCTCTGCCCACTGCGGCGAAGAGAGCAACCCTAAACGAACAAAAACCACCAACAGGTCCACAACTTCCGCAGCCGTGCCCGCTCAGCCGGCGGTTTCATCCGCTGGCCACTCCCCTTCTGCCTCTGGGGGCGACTCTGGAGTGCGATGGACGTACCACTACCCACCGACCGCGTCGTCTTCGAGTGGCAATCAGGGATGGGAGCAAGGAGCAAGAAACGCGAACGCAGTTCATATGCAGCAGCCTCGCACGATGCCGGAGCAGATCAACTCCGTTCCGCCAACTTCCTCATCGGGTCATCACGGGTACTATCAGTACCCGAGACCCGACTACCGCGCGCCGCCTCCGTCGACTTTGACTTCGACTTCGAACGCGACCAATTTCGCGAGGAACGAGGCGCCATACTCTGCATACCACTACCCTAACCCGCCGATGCAATATGGATACCCTGAATCCATGGTTGGATATGGCTACGCTGCGCCTCGCTACAACCATTCAGGCCCTCCGGGCCCTCCGGGACATGGTCACCCATCCAGTTCTCGAGGGTTTCGGCGTTGAGCAATGTTGGTAACACTGCATTAGATTTACTTGTTTTTTTTTCGGACCAACCTTATACTACTATAACTCGCTATCGTCTCAGTTGAGTCACTGCGCAATGTCTTGTATCTTATATTTAGTGTACAATATCAAATCCCGGCTGCTATCTTTGATTCGCTTGCTTGTTTACCGCGCAACGTGATAGGGCTCAGGAAATGAAAACTAGCGTTTCAGAATTTTTGCCTCGCGGCGTGGAGATCAGCCATTCTTACCAACAGGTTAGTGCCTTGATCAACTCGATTTTTGGATACTCGGCTGTTATCGAAGAAACCATGAATTGTTCGACCAGATCAATAGAAGGTTTGATGCATTTATCAGAATTCACATAGAACACGGCAGTGCTGAAGCGTTGACTGCCTAACCTTAGTTATTCAGGCTACTTCACCCGTCGTAGATGTTGACTGCTTCAAGGTGCGAAATTGTGTTTCGGTGCCAAGTCCGAGGCCAGGGGCAAGCGCTTGGGTCAATACTGCCGCCACTCCTCGAGGAAACACACGTTTATCAGGTCGGTCGTTAATCCATGAACGAGCCTTCGTAATCGTTGAATACGTCACGAAGCAATGATCTTGACGGAAGGAATCAAGAAGACAATAGATCGCTAACAGACGACACTGTTGCCTTACGTCGCCGTCAATTTTGCATGGTGGTGGCATGGCTGAACTGCGGAATCAAATTGACAAGCGGAAGTATCTGGAATATCATTCTCGCCTATGTCATTTCTTCCCAGACTTTGTTGGAAGAAGCGTAGACGTTTGACAATACCGACGTTGTTGGACCGGGGGAGTGTTTTACTCCAGTTTATTTGTTCTACGTAATGGAGACGGCTCACGCAGCTCAATTTGTGAATCTATACAGGTCTCCAATGGCTACCACGATGCGGCAACGGAGCCCATTATTTCCAACGCTTTCTGAGGTGAGAGTGCTCATCTGTCGTTGTAGAGAAGCGTGATGAGTTGATTGTGCGGGGCATCCCGATCTGGTGGAACCATCAAATGAAGCCGACGTCTCGCGGAGCCTACAAGGCGCCCGCCGCGGCCTACTAGCTGCGATGGAGTCGTCATGGCCACATTGACCCAGACTCTATTCAATTGTTGGAACTTCGAGCTGGCGAAAGTTGCCAAATGAAAGACAATAGCAGGCGCACCCAGCAACGTAGAATAATAATAGTAGATATATTGCAACGTGCTCAACATGCGGCCGAATCCAAGGTACAGGTAATGTCCAGGCATTGACCGGTCCAGCATGAAAGGTTCAAAGAAAATGTGCTTAGACGGAAGGGTCCCCGAAATAAACGTGTTACGTTACTATGTCTGATGGTAAATCCGTCGTGCGACGGTGCGGATCCATATTGAATGTACGCGATTAGGCACCCGCTGTCGCCCTCGAACTGTCGCTTGTGCCGCGTCTTGGCCTTTTAAATATTTGATCCCAAACGACTCTTGTTCCTCCAACCCACCCCTGTTCCTTTCGCACATTCTAATTACTGTTTTACCTCATCATGTCCCAGCCGTACACACCGGTCTCCGACACGCTCAGTACCGTGGAGTGGGACCTACTGGCCGATGCGTCTATGCCACCTCCGACTGACGTGTTCGCGGCGTTCGCAGACGCGTCTATGCCACCCAGCGCCATCTTCTCGACATCCCAATTGGACTTCGAGGAGTGGTATGAACAGGACCTAGGGCTCAACTCATCATCCTTTCTCATCGATCCTATCCAACCCAACCCCTCTATGTCACTCAATGACGCTCACCTTCCTGCTCTACCCACGCCTAGTCGCGACTGTGGCCCCGTCGATGACATGCCACCAACACTATCCTCCAACAACTCTACTCAAACGTCCCCCTCGATCTACGGCACCCCGCTTTCAACGGCACCTTCATCGAACACCCAATACCTGACGCCATCACCTCCAAGCAGATGCGAAGAGCCGGCTCGTTCTCATCCTCCAGCCGCCCCAGCCGGGGTAATCAGCAACTCTCAAGCTCTCCCCGACGTCGTTTTATCGGAGCCTCGCGCCGAGAACGCTGTCTCGTATCCTTCTAAACCGAGATCCTCAGACACTCCTCATACGCAATTGTCTCTCAACGCTGCAAGCAATTCCCTTGGCTCCTCCTACTCTACTAGCGAGTCGTCGGCAGGATATCGCCCAATTCGACCTAAGAACGTAAGGACGTTGAATATCATTTACCTTTCGGGGCGCTAACGTCTTCGAACAGCCTATAAGTACGCATTGTTCGGGTGCCAATGCAGACTTTGAGGGTGCAAGAAGGTAAGCAATAAGCTATTAACAAAATGATTGAATATGTGCTAAAATTACGTTTACTACAGGATGAACGCTCAAGAGAGGGTAAAACCTCTCTTGAACGCATATCCCACCGGACGTGCAGGCGAGTCTACACCTATGCCTGAGCCAGAGGGGATGGATCGGATAGACTTCCGTAATCTGGAACTGATCCCCGAATGGGCAAGTCGTCCCTTTTTATTTTATTTCATCACCGGAGATTTACCTGTCACGAATAGCAACTCCCAGACAACGTGGGCGTTCCGGAGTCTGTGAACAACAGGCGCTGCTACGGCGTGTGGGTCCATCAGGTGTTGAAGGACCTTAAACCACCTCCCCTCCGGTTCGACGACGACCTTGAGTGGCATCTCGAGATGCTACGGCGGAGGTGCTTCAAGTTGCTCGCCGACTACGATCCAGCGACGTTTGGCAAGGACGGGACGAGAAACAAGACTGTAAGCGTTCGCTCAGAATCTCTATTGCAAGATGGTACTCACCATTCGCGATCAGCGCGGTCAGGATGTTTTGGTGTCGGTGGATCAACCCGTAAAAGAGGATGAAACGACGTGTTCCGAATCAAGTTCGGGACCTATTAACCCATCGCCTCATCAAGCTCAAGTATCATCTCTCCCCAACAAAGACCCTCCTGATGCACAGACGGAGAGTACGAGCCACGATCCCGTAAGTATCTCACCAATCTCACCTGTATCATTTATTCCGCTGTCGGCCTGGCTGACGGCCTATGCGTGTAACAGTTTCAAAACCCTGGCCAGTTCGCTGTCTATCGACATGCGACTGGTACGGCCAAAGGAAAGAGAAAAGCCTCGCCTCAATCGACGAGCACCAGGGCGAACGCTCGAGCCAAACGATCAAGGCCCAACGACAACGACACTCTCTTCGTCCACTACAGTGAAGAGAGCACCACAAAACAGAAGAAAACCAGCTCCGCGTCCACGACTTCCCATGTAGTCGCGGACGTACAACCAGCGGTGTCCTCCGCCGGTCACTCTCCTTCAGCCGCAGCGGCGGGATGGGTATACCCCCAGCCGTCGATGGCCAGTGGCAATTGGAGATGGGATGGAGGACGAAGACAAGGGCACACGACGGAACCTCGCACGATGCCACATCACCCTATCAACTCCGCGCATCCGACTCCTCCATCCGGTTATCACCGGCACAGTCAGTACCCGCCTTCCACTTACGGCCCGTCACGGCCCACCTCTTTCGCGCCGACTTCGATAATGGCGAGCGAGGCACCTACTCCTACATATCCTGGCCCGGGGACGCATTTTTATCACCCTGTCCCGACGCCGCATCATGTGCACCCTTATCCAACGGCGCATCGTGGCCACCCAGCCCCGATGATGTCGGGTTACGGCCACTACCTGCCCAACTCCACCATCCCGGCAGGCCAAGATCATGTAGAACAACTTCATGGACTCATGTACTGAAGGAGGCTTCGTATCCAACGTCTCATTTATTTAGACCGACAATACCTCACTTTACTTACGAAACTACCAGTCATAGTCGCGCGTGCGGTAGAGTCACCACCATATATTTATTTCGATCTCGGGTATATATTTTGTATGCTGTACTACATTTACAACGTCTTAGACCACCGCATCCCATAGCACGATGTCCCCGACACAGGAAGTTGAAGAATGGTCTCAATCCTCTTGTTCATAGGTTTCGGTTCTCAGTTGTAATAATTAAACAATGCAGAGAGTACCAAGACCAATTCCGTTAGAATAATTCACCCAGTATGCTCATGGGAAAGTACCGGTCGGTGGTCTAGAGAAAGAACAGAGGAATAACATGCGGGTATGACTATGTCATCTCTCTTTTGGCTTCCGATATGAATTGCTAGACGGAGACAAGACTCCACGTATTCACCAAAGCCGTGCAGAAACAGGATTGCGCTGGCGAGTCGCACACCGTCTCGGTAAGTAACCCATTGGCAGTCGTTAGCAAAATTAGCCCTTGCGCGAGACCTCCACCCGCACAGTTTTCCAACAACTGAAACACGGGTAGCCCTACCTTCTCCTGGCAGTCAAAGATCGTCTAGGGCGACTCCACCGTCAACGGCTCTGTCGTCGGTGCTACCGCGTGGCTCGACGACGGCTCTTGTGGTGCACTCGGCGCCAACTGCGAAGCCGCCGAGTTTACCCTCCAGAACGGCCAGATCAGCGCGGCTGACATCACTCTCGTCGGCGGTCACGACAACTAGCTAGTGCCACCACTGCTCCCTCCGTGGAAACGCGAGGCCGTTGCGCTTACCATGCGATTCCAGCAGCGCCTACCCCATCGCTGTCGAGTTCATCGGCCCCGCTACTGAAAAGCTCAGCTGCGCTTCCGCTGACTGCAAGGATGCCCTGCACACCTTTACCCAGAAGACCGGCACCACCATCTCTCAGGCTGATAACGTTGGCGTACATACCCTCAGGTTTCTTGCGTCAGGGCTTTTTGCTAATTTCTCGGCTCATACAGGCCAAGGTCACCTTCTGTTAAACGATTGCAGACGTATTTATCGGCTGCATTGGAAATAGTAATATTTTAAATGAATATATGAAAGGGCATGTTGGAACGTGCCTGAGGAATTGATAGCAGGACCGAAGTGAAGGTTGAACGAACCTCGCAGTTATTCTCTGGATATGGGACGGCACTGACGCGCTACGAAGTATCGTCAGCTCTGAGCGTCGTATCCCGAGGACAGCACCGTTCACGTCGACAGTTAGTACTGATGTTCGACCAATTTCGCTTTTCGTTGCATCGCTAGTTCCGGAGCTATTGGCAAGAATTCCGGTACCGATCTTCGTCAAGAATTAAAAGAGTATTGCAAACTACCCATTAGACACCAGAGCTCCTCCAAGGGGCAAGTTGTAACCCTTGAGGTAATATAGCGCGGAATTGTTCCGTCATGCATGCGATGGACTAACGCGTTGAAGTAGAAAGATAAATTTACACCAATAAAGTACATCCAGTTTGACTCGTTGCATACGACGCTCCTCTTCTAAGTGGCCGAAAGAGGGATTACAGTGGAGGGATGACGCGGGTGAGCCACTTCGTCAGATGCTCTCGGAGCTGAATCAGCACGGCCTCGTTGTAGACGTGGCCTGTCCCTTTGTACTGGTGCATCTCGATGAGGGCCTTCTTGGGCTCGGGGTTGATACCCGTGGAGTGGTCGATGATATCGGTCTCGCTGCCCGAGAGTTCCTTGATGACCTGGACGGAGGCTTCGCCTGCGGGGAAGGCGACCACGTTGTCGACCTTGACGTGACCCCAGAAGAGTGGGGTGTTGCGAGCATGCGAGGAATACATCTGATACGGATGTTATCAGAAACCATCGAGCTGGTTCGACGGTTATGGAGTGAATGAATGATATAGAGATGGGCACACACCTTTCGGAAGTCATGCAGACGGGGAATGTACCCGCTAAGCGCTGCCACGCCACCAAGCTCCCATCCCTCCTTCGCCTTTCCTTCCCGGACCAGAATCTCCTCTTTCACCTTCCCGCCCGACGTCTCCCGCGTTAATATCTCCGGAGTTGGGGAGCCCGTAAGACCCGTGATGAGCGACATCGCGGCACCTTGCGAGAAACCAGCGACAATGATCCGCTTCTCTGGCGTGTCGGTGAACCCTTCGCCCAGCGAAACCTTCAGCAGCTCCGCTTCTTCTTGAATGACGGAATCCACGTCCCTTACGGAGCGCATCAGGTTCGCGAAGTTCATCTTCTCAGCCTGGGCTTCGATGCTGTACAGTAGGTGTGAGGGGCCGTTGCGGGCGAGGATATGATCGATGTCGACTTGGTGCCAAGACGTCATCTCTTCTGGAGACATCGGGGTCTTGACTTTGGGTGCCGAGGGGAAGACGAACTTGACATGGTCGAGAGCGGTGTTCTGGGGGAGGAAAAAGTTGCTCCAGATTGACTCCCAGCCTAGCGGTTGATCGCCGAGTCCCTGACGGAGCCGTCAATCTCCAAGGGAGAAGGTTGGATGCAGTGCGCTTACATGCATGAAAATCACCGTTGCCGTGTGCTTTGCACCACGGCGGGGGGCGATCTCGAGAGTCTTGTGCCTCGGGGTTGCGTAGAAAGCCGCGCTGGACATATTGGACGAGAACACTAGGTGTGGTATCCGCTGTGAGGATAGAACGTTAAGCTTCTTCAGCAACAATGCAGTGATCCCAACCAGGATACAGACGAATGCGGGCGCTCGAAGCAACGAGAACCGGAGAATCATCTCATTTCGAGAAGCCGAAGGGTGTTGAGGACGGTAATGTGTTTGGCTCTGTTATGATCCGCGGCTGATGACAAACATGACTACACAACCCCTCGGGACGCGTTTGGGAGCGAGGCGTCTCGTTAGACCCTCGTATCACAGTCGCAACTTTGTCTTAACACTACTACTGCTACGTTTTTCGATTTTAACGAAGGTTGCGTGAACTCGCCAGTCAATTGACATAGAAAGAGCACGAAACAATTCCTGAAGCCTGCTCCGAGCACAGTACACGTTCCGTAGCCTCATGGATACCGGCTATGGAGCAAAGCAAAGTTCGGTGCTTGCTTTCTCAAGCCCAAGACATTTGATTATAAGATGTTTGATGTCGAGGGATTCGTCACATTGATCCAGATTACGCTCACTCACTTATAGATTCAATTTATAGCTGATTATCTGACATTATTAACACGCCGAGGGCAACACGTTGACGAGAAAATATCTATTTATTCCAATTTCCAGAGGCTAGTACAAGGGTATACGTCTGAGCATCATCGATGTCAAGTTTTACGACAGATCATCATCGTCGCGCCGCCACCAATGTCATCGTAGTTGAATACTAAAAACAGAAGACGTTCAGATCGAATACCAGGTGATGGCCCAGATAAGCCGCAGCTTACCGATCTTAGGGACCATGTGTCCATGTGGGCGTGCCATTTTTCCATTCACGACGCTCGCCCGCTGGCCGAGCGCTGCGTGTGGCTCGTGAGAGCGTTTTCCCCTTCTTGAGCAGTGCGCGGGTGGGTGAATAGTTCGGGGCGACCCGAAACGCCGGGGCCCGTCAAATATGCAGACGGTATGAACGGAGTAGAGCGATTGGGCTGATGGACGGATCGGGACGGAGCTCCACGTCGGTGGTGCATAAGGTCGGAGGCTTCGGATACCGGCAAAACTACCCGCTCCCTCAAACCTCCTTCTGTAGACGCCAGAGAGCCCGTTCTCTGAGACCCGCCCAGTGAAGGGGGATGACCGAGATTCGGTACTGCCGCGACGGGATTGGCAGCACCTGAAGCTGCTGGTCTTGATTGGTATACTGAATTTGTTTGGTTGTCCTTTTCGTGGAGGACAGAGGTGGCTTCGTTCGTCTTCATCCTTTTTCTCAGCGCATGTGGGACGTTGCTGGCCCGTTTCCTACTAGCGGGTACATCGCTTTCGGAGACGGGATAGCCGAGGTCGTCGTGGATGTGCTGCGCGGCAGGATGAGCGAAGTCGCTACCATTAATCTGTTGGATTGTCGGAGAGTAATATCGAATATTCGGTGAGTTCTCATAATAATCGCGGAGTGATCATACTCACATTTCGTTCAAGAGACTGAGGAAGTACGTGAGAGGGCGGAGCAGCCAGGTTCAGACGAGGGTATGTGTCGTGGTGCTGATCTTTATGCTGTGATCCTAATTGTCGAGCACGCCTACCTAGCCTCCGCGAAGACGTAAGCGCCTGGCCTTGAGAAGGGACAGGAGTCGACGGAGGTGAGGCAGGAGATGGGCCTTCAAGGATACCGCGACGGCATGATGGCTTTGGGGCACGCGTACGCGGCGGCGGAGAAAAGACGTAGCGCGGAGAAGGTTCGGGGCTGGGCTTTTTGTCATGCGATGTCCCTCGGATAATCACCGGGGGGATCGGCGGATAAAACCGTTCGCCGTTGTGCTATAAAACGCTTTAAATACGAGCACGTAGTCTCAGGAAACACTTTGGTGCTCACCATCACGAACTCTTGAGGTTGTACTATGCTGTCGTCAGCATAGGCATCCGCAAGATCGCCGTGGTGCATCATACCAGAAGGTATCAACGTAGGACTCTGCTGGACCGTGCTCCATTCCAGCTGGTACCCGCTGTTCCAAATTCCTGCCAAACCACGTGGAATGTGATCAACACCCTCCTGTGCCGACACATCGTCGCTCTGCCATCATTCTCAGCGACGAACGCAGACGATGAGTGACGGAGAGGCGTACCAGGATTCCATTCACATGCCCAGTCGTATGCTCCGTGTTTTCCTTGCTCGCGGAGCCCTTGAATTTAGCGCCGAGATCGCAGATGAAGTTGCGCAACGATGCGATATCTTCGACCGGGATACGTGTGTAGCAGGCTGAACACTTCCAGACGCTCGTGAGCAACTCTGCGATCCTGAGCGCCACGGTATCGGAGTGTTGCTCGCAAGCGGAACGAATGGCACCCTTTAATCGGTATATCGCATTAGGATACGTATCTAAACAGTAAGAAAGGTTTAGCTCACGATAAGAGGAGGAGCGTTAGGCACGCGCTCGTTAAGCCGTGCTTGGTGGCCCGGTATCAAAGGCGAGGGGTAATTATGGGCCCATTCCACATCGTGAACATGCGAGCACGAATGCTGGATGTGCGACGCCCTGACCTGATCAGGAAGAGCTGGCTGCTCATGCACGTCGGGCTGAGGCGCATAATTCATCTCGTCAAAGTCCCACGCAGCATTCCCATACGGAAATTGCATGTTCTGAGCTTGCGGCGGCGGAGGGTATTGTAATGTGAGTTGGAGGGGAGGAGTCTGGAACGATGCTGCTTGCTGGAGTTGATCGAAAGGAGGAGAATGTTGCGGTAAGGAAGGGGAGGTGTACAAACTTGTCAATTGATGAACGTCTCGCTCAAGACCGTGACTGGAATGATCGACAAAGCCCGTAGCCGTGACGGCGTTGTCAAGCCTATGCGAGCTACCGAGATCAACGACTCCGTGACCGGAGAGCGCAATAGGAGGTGTAGACTGGGGAGGACTAGCTCCATGCCGAAGACCTTGACCGCTGTTCAAGGTAGCCTAATTTGAATTGTTAAGCGTCGTCCACAGACACACGATAACATGGACGTACTCTGGGTTCTTCATTAGAGCCGGCCAACGCGAACATATCTACCACCGACGCTGAAGTGGGCGTCGCAGCAACCGTGTCTATGGAGTACGTTTCGTTTGTTCCAGCAGGGTGCATATGAAGAAACGTAGAGTTCAGGGGGTTTGGTTCGGATGACGGGGCTGAGCAAGAGACTGAGGCGGAGCAGAGGGCGTCGAACGACGGCGATAGTGTCTCGTCAGGAAGGGTTTCGTGCATGTCGTGCTCGGCGGAGCAGAGGGCGTCGAACGACGGCGATAGTGTCTCGTCAGGAAGGGTTTCGTGCATGTCGTGCTCAGCGGCGAAGGTATCACCCCCGCCAAAGTCCCATTCATAATTGACGAGACCGGCGGAAAAGAACGGCGAGGATTCGTCATGAGTCACAGAATACCCATCTTGAGGAAGAAAGGCGGATAAGTCGGAATAACCAGGAGGATAGTTCATGGTTGTGGGAGGAGACGAGCGAGCGTGATGGGCGGGGAAGTGAGGAGCAAAGCAACAGGTAAAATCGTGAGCCCATAAGGACCCCCAGGCAGGCCTCGACACAACCGCGGTGTCATGTCAACATATTTGGAAAGCTCGCGTATCGTATTAGAAGATCCACTGCAGGTCTTGACAGGCGCCACAGGCCGCCGCAATTGAGAAACGCTTTCCCGAGTGGCGGTGACGGAGAACGTGTCCCTGAAACCCATTCAATGAAGGAGCGCCCAAGCGTGCTCTTGTTCGCTCACCAATGCTCACTAGGCCTAAGAGTGCAAAATCCAAAGGCGTTTTGGGTATGTCGCATTAACGATGTAGGGTACAAGGCGGCGTATCAAAGACACTTGCTGTAGCTTGCTGTACACCAGAGCTGCGGAATGTGTGATGGATCCTTGAATTGAATACACATGCAAAAGAAGCTTGATGGTCAAGTTGATGGTGCCAGTTGAAGTGACAGGTCCCTGAGCCTGTGTAAATCCGTAAGCGCCCAAACCAAACGGCGGTACCAGGCAAGTTGGAAGTAGGGTACGGTTGGGTTGGACACCGTGGAGACTCTGTCCTTATTTTACTTCAACTTACTGAGTATGACATTAGCCAAACGAATCGCCCTTGGTTCCTATTCTCTGTTTGCGATAGTACGACGTGGATGGCGGATGAGTGGACGGTGCCAAACGTCTGGTGAACGCTTAGTTGACGCTAGAACACTGTGCCGGCGGAACAGTAAAGTTCAAATTCCGACTGGCGACAGATCCTTCGCCGCCGTCTCGGACCTCTCGAGTGCAAAAGGTTGCAAGTTCACTTCGTCTTGAGGTATGTTGTCGTGTTGAAGAGAATGGGCAACGAGCCAGAACATCCATGTACTGAGAGTGAAAGCTTCATTTCAGCCGCGCATCCCTCAGTTAATGTGGGGAGTGTTTAGACCTTTGTTGCTTAGTGTGGCCCAGTAGCCACAACAACGACCAAACAATTTGCGGCTGTATTGTAAGCATTCGATGGAACCTGGTGAATACAGAAGTGATCTAAGGCGGCGAAATTGAACTTCGTCTCTATGAAATGGGGGTGGGGGGACGACACGCGTGAACCACGCAGACAGACAGACATTCCTTCAGCTGAAGAAACTGGGCTTCGTTATATACATGCACCACTCCTCCAAACTGGTGTACCTCAATAAGACTGTCCCTTCGCTCGTGGTCGTGGTTCGTACTGTGATCGATGATGTCGACTTTACCTCCAGAAAGTTCTCGGATGACTTTGGCAGAAGCTTCGCCGGCCGAACAGGCGATGACAAGTACTGTCTGCCTTGACGTGCTCCATGATTAGTAACATAGGAGTGCTGCGTGCGCGACGAGCACATCTAAAAAATACGCATGGCATCTAACCGGACATCGGAGCAGCGAGGACATCATGGAGGCGTCAGCGTGATAGAGAGATGGAGAAATAGCTCACAGCACGAAAATCATTGCAGGCGCGGAACATACCCGCGGCTGAGAGCCGCTACACCACCAAACGCCTGTCCCTCCTTTGCTTTACCCAGTCGAGCCAAGTCACCTTACCTCCCTGCGTCTCCCAAGAAACAATATCCGTGGCCGAAGAGCCTGTGAAGCCAGCCATAATCGACATCGTAGTGCCTTGCGGAAACCCTGCTAGGATGATCCGCTTCTCAGGCACACCATCGCCCCTCCGCCCCTATTTTACAGTGTCAATGAGTATGTGTTGCTTAAGAACGGTAGAGTATACCTCACTTACGCGCATCAGTATCACCGTCGCTGTATGTTTACTACGAGCAGGCATTTCACGGGTCTTGCAACGTGGAAACGAGTACGAGGCCGCGCTAGACATCTTGTGCTGCAAGAAATATGATGAACCTGTGGCTTAGGACAGAAGGAGACCGATATGACACTATAGCACTGAATACACAAAGTACTGGCACAACGTCGCAGAAAATGCTGGGGTATCAGAGACAACAGGATCCAGCGCATACCCACCAGAGTCATGAGTCAAACACCTACCAGCTATAACATGCCTCGGTCTGACTAAAAACACAGTAAGCACGGTCATCGTATCGACATATCCTGAGAAGAAGCCGAAGCGCTAAAGAGAAAAACCCCGTGTATGTGGTCTTGTTATTCTCCAAGGCCGCCGGTAAACACGCCTATACAAGCCAAAAGCAGCTCAACATTCAGCCGTACTCGTAGGTGCACCATGGGCTCGTTTAACCCACAATGCTACATCACCGACCCAGGTAGGATTAAAAAAACATGCACAACATGTAACGAGCCTCCAGACCCCACACCTCACACCTTGCGGAACTTGCCCTGCACCCACACCCTATACATCTTAAGCTGCCGCTTGCGGTTGACGAGCAGCCGCCGGTCGACGCCGAGCTGCTCGGCGGTGAAGAGCGCGCCGGAGGCGTGTAGAGACGCTGCGGCGCGTTCTGCGGACGCGAATCGGGATGGGTCCGAGTCTGATTCTGATTCCGGGGCTGGTGTTGCGCCCGCTTGTGACGGGGGCAGCGACGACGGATCTAGAGAAGGCGTTGGCACAGAGAAGCCGGCGGTGAGACCAGCACTTGAAGCGTCTGGTGACGATGCACCGTCGCTCTGAGGGACAGGTGTATGTGCCCCCGCAATTCCGGGCGACGCTGTTCCCCCGTTCACAATCGCGCCCTCTTGCCCTTCTTCTTCATCCTCGACACGCACACCTTCCGCCGAGGCCTTCTGCGCGGGCGTCGCGCGCTCGCCCGTGAACAGCAGCGCGAGCTCGTCTATAGACAAGCACGCTCGGATGAGATACTGTGAGAGCGGACAGAGGAAGACGGCGGCGCACCGAGCTCAAAGAAATACACCCGCGTCTTATCCCCGCGCGCATAGAAATTGTCCCCCAGCAGCCGTCCCGTGCGGAACCGCAGCTGCGCGAGATCGTACCGGCCGTAGTCCCTTAGGAGAAGCAGCCCGCCTGGCTTCAGCAGCTAAATCCCCCGCCCAAAAAAATCAGCAACCGCGGCCTTTCCTGCGTAAATGCAGAGAGAGAGAGAGAGAGAGAGAGCCGACGCACACGCCACACACTCCGCACCGCGCTCTCCCACTCCCCCGGCCCCAACGCGCTCATCACGAACACCATCAACGCAACATCCACGCTTCCCTCCCGCACGCCCGCGGGCATCTCGCGCGCCGTGAGATCCCACACCGCCGCGCGGACGCGGCCCGCGCCGGGGGGCGGCGCGGTGTAGAGCGGGTGGCGCTGTACGAGTTTGATGGCGTGTGCGGCGAAGTCGAGCGCGTGGATGGTGAGGGAAGGGTTGCGGGAGGTGGTGAGGAGGGGGAAGGCGGTGTTGCCTGCGCCTGGTGCGGTGCGAAGACGTGAGTGAGTGTGGGTGGGTAAGCAAGGGAAAGGGAAGGGAGAAGGGAGGAGGAAGGGAGGAGGGAGGCGTACCGCAGCCGATTTCGCAGACGGTCTGAGGGCCTGCCTTTGTGTGGTCTCAGATACTCGACTTTCGAGAGGCGAATGGAGGGGACGCACGTCGGGCGCCGTTGCGGCGAGGAGCTCGGGGAACTCGAGGCTGAGCCTGCGTGGGTGTGCACGATAATATAGATATCAGCACACTGCGCGTTTCGGCGGATGATGAAGCCAGGGAGAGAGCGCACCAGTTCCGGTCCCTGAAGAAATTGTCCGCGTTCGTCTTGTAGAAATTATCCCTTCCGCCTGATGTATCAGCGTCCCCGGGCACTATTAACTCCACAAGGGAGACGCACCAGTGCTTCGCGGGCCTGTCGTTGATCTTCTGGCGCTCGGGCTCCGGACAGGGCGCGGCGCGCTGGCGGGCGAGCGAGGCTGCGATGTGCTCGTCGTGCTCGTCGGGCGGGGGAACGTGGTCCCATGCGTTTTGGGAGAAGACGTCTGCGTCTGCGGTGAGGAAGCTGGGTGTATGTAAGCGCCGGAGGTTGGTGTTATAGGTCGGCCGGGACAAGAGCAGACGGAGGACTGACCGGGAGCCAAAGGGCGGTTTTTCGGCGTTGACGTCGTGCACAGAGGACGCGAGTTTTGGTGTGCGTCCCTTGCGCATATCAGAGGCGCTTGCATCGGGTGTAGGAGAGTCGGACATTGTGTCTTGTGGTTTTATGACATGGAGTCAAGGTTTAGGAGAAAGGCCTGTTTTGGGGGATTAACATCTGATAAGCCCACGGCCCGTCCCGGGGTCCTTGTAGGTGGTGCCCATCGGTGTGATGCTCGGTGGATGATGGCGCCAATCCAAAGCTTGAAACGACTTGGTGGCTCTGGAAGGGCGATGAGGTGGGCGACGATATACAGCGCTATTAAAGAGGGATGGCAACGGGGGCCGAGGGAGGGAGGATGGAGTGGCCGGGGACTGCCGGAGTGGTGTGGCGGGACCCGGTGTGAATTCAGCGACAGTCTTGTCCCCCTCACCACCGTGCCCGACGACACAACACCCCATCATCCCACCTTTCTCCTTTTCTTATTCCACTACTGCTCCTCTATGCTTGCTCTTTGACTGCTGACGAGCACGGAGGACAGTTTGCGACACAAGTCATCGAGAGGATCCGCAAGACGCCATCAGCCAGGCCGGCAGGCAGGGCAGGCTTTGACAGCTCAGCCCCGCCTACAACGTCAGACGTCTTCCACAAAGTCTCATTAAGCGTCAAGACTACCCTTTCCCGCCTTTCGAAGATAACCTCCACAACCACTAGGGCCGCAGCGCCAGCGTCGACACTAACACAGACACGCAACCCATCCAGTCATCGAAACAACTCATAAGCGACACAGCAATGCAGAGCAACGCCCACAAACCGCCCCCGCCCGACGACGAAGATCTGCAGCACCTCTATGAAGAGGTCTGGCGCGCGTTCGGCGACGAGACGCCGGCCGAGCCCTCGGAGCCGTCCCCTGCCGGGAGTGGCAGCGTGCACAGTGCGACTCGGTCGTATCGCGACAGGGACTCGCCGACGTACGGGCCTGCTGGAGGAGGTGGTGGTCGGTACAACAAGGGTGGGTCGTGTTCTGTGTTTATAGTGTGGTGGATTCCTGGGGTTGGAATGGGACGTGGTGGTGCTCTTTCACATTCCATCGCGGTGGTCGGGGTTGCGTTCTGTGCTTCCATTTCTCTCGCCCTGTCCATCCTCTTTCCTTTTTTCTTCCTCCCTCTTTCTGGCATCTGACGCGACCTCCAGCGATGCCCGACCCCACAGCCCAGCAAAACTCCATCTCACCTACATCGCACCGCCGCCCTCGTCCCCTCCCGCCCCCACCGCCCCAACAGGGCCCCGCGTCATCAGGATCGGGCGCTCATAGCCATTCGGCGTCGTTGCCTGAAGACCCTCAAGCCCGCGCTTCTAATGAGAGAGAAGGGAGACCGCCTGGATCCGCGAGCTCGTCGCGACCGAACACGGCGGGTGCTACAGGCTGGGACGGGTGAGTATCTGCCTGTTCTCTCGACTTCTGTTGCGTTGGGTTGGGATTTTGGTTCCGCGGATGCTGTTTCTTTCATTCTACCCGGTCCTTGCTTGGATTCCCGCACGGCGCAGGGCGAAAAGTGCGCAGCTACGCGCTCGCGATTGGTGTACTGCCTCTCCACATCGCGCTATCGCGATTGCAATTTGGCGCGACTGCGGGCGTTGAGTCTGAGCCCCTATTTCTTCTCCAATATTTTGAACGTCCTGTCGCCTTTCTACCCCGTTCTCTTCTTTGCTCCTCTGCTTTCGATCTCTCAATCTCATTTTCCTGCTCACTGCCATGCTCACCCCCTCCTTCCCTCCTCCCCACAGCCGACGCCAACTTCCTTTTGCACCCGGGTACCACACCACCCGCCCCTCCGACCCAAACGCTACCTCACCCGTCTCGCCATACGGCCAGCAAAGAGCGCCTGGAGGCGGCCCGCCACCATCGATTCTTGCACCCCCGCCTCCGCCTCCGCCCGACATCTACAAGGCGACACCGCCTCCACCGCCACCGCCCCCGCCGCACCTCGCTGGGCTGCCGCCTAATGGGACTAGCAACGGCATGAACGGCGGGGAATACGGAAACGGAAATGGATATGGAGGGGCAGCGCTCACGGCTCCCTCGATTCAGATGCCGTCGCCGCACGTCCCGGGGCTGCCGCGCTCGCACAACGCGTCGCCTGCGCCGCCGGGTATGGGCGGGAGTGCGAACGGGGCGGGGGCGGGTGTGGGGAGGGCGGGGAGCTTTAGGCCGCCTGGGGCTGGGGCGCCGGTTACGCCTGGCTTGGGCGGGTATGGTGCGGATGGGGGGTACGGGAATGGGAACGGGAACGGGAGTGCGAATGCGCATGTGAATGTGAATGCGAATGTGAACGCGAGGGAGGAGGAGTATGCGTATGGAAGGTCGTGGGGGTACTCGGGCCCGCCGCCTGCTACCGAGGGGCGGTACGACGATGGGCGGGCGGGGCGGTATGGGCATGCGGGCTCGGGGGTGAACAGGAGCGGTGGATTTTACGATGAGGTGTTGGAGGAATATGCGGGTGGAGGCGGGGGGCAGCCAAGGCAGGAGATGGACGCGGGGCCTGTGGTGGGGTACGGCGCTGGGGGCTTGCCACGTACGTTTCCACTGCTCTTTCACGCACCGACGCACGTTGATCTCCCCTGCTTCACACAGCCGAGCTCACCCGCGGCGCGTCCGCCGTCTCGACGCTCTCCGCCACGTCCGCGACGACGAGCGGCTCGTCGTCGCTCTACCCCGCTGCGGTCGGGCGCGGCGACCAGACGTCGCTGTTCACGGCGCAGACGACGCCGTCGCCGTCTGTGCATATTGACAAGGACGGGAGGGGCGCGTACGAGACGTATAGTGGCACGTCGAGCGGGATCGGCACGCCGACGGAGCGCGGGCAGGGGGAGGAGGATTATTTGACTGCCGGGGCGGCGTATGCAAGGCATGCGCAGGCGTCTGCGGCGTCGTCGCAGGTGCCGATTGCGCCGCCGCATGGGCATGGGCAGGCACCGGCACAAGGTCAGGCGCAGGGACAAGGACAGGGGCAGGGGCAGGTGTACGACGAGGCGTACGATGAGGATGGGTACACGTTCGACAGCGCGTCGGAGGACGCGGATCCGGATCGGTTTGTCAACTTTAGCTTGCTGAGCCATCTTGCGGTGCGGTTGCGGGATAAGGTGCCGCGCGGGACGCATGTGAAGAGCAGTATTCCGTATCCGAGGGCGTTCACGGGGAAGGACATTGTGGTGCGTCTCCGCCGCTCATGCCTCCCTTGTTTATTGGGAGTTGGCGCTGATGCTTGATATCTGGCTGGCCGGGTGGACACGATGATGACAGTCGACGATCCAGTCCCAGATCCAGCGCGAGCTCCTCATCAACCACGGCATCTCCACGACGGACCGGCGCGCCGCGCTGCAGGTCGCACGGTCGCTGCAGCGCCAGCTGTTCTTTTACGAAGTGGAGTGGGGCGACAAGCCGCTGCAGGACGGTGTCGAGGACGTGTACATGTTTCTCGACGACCACGACGCCGAGGGCGCTGTGTCGCCCGGGTTTGAGCGGTTCAATGATTTCGGCGGGAGTGGTGGAGGCGGCAGCGGCGGGGAGGCCGGCCCGTCGAGTGCGGCGGCGGCGGGGAGGACGCCGGGCGGGAAGGAGGTGGAGGAGCTGCCGACGGCGGTGATTACGATGCTGACGCGGTGTTATTCGACGAATTGTTCGGACGATGCGCCGTGTTATTCGTATGCGTGTCCGAGGAAGGTGCGTCTTTGCCTTCTCTGTGTCGAGATGTGAGCGCGAGTGCTGATGCGTGTGGTGTGTAGCGCCAGAATCAGGCGGCGCAGCTGTTTGAGCCTGTTGCGGTGGAGCCTGAGCCGGTGCATGTGAGTGTTGGTTTTGGTAGTGTGTTGGGGTTTGGGAAGGGGCTGATGCGGAATTTGGGGGTTTTAGCAGGCGCCGGCGGGTGATTGGCAGTTGATGGTTGATCCGAGTATTCTCAAGACGTTGCCGGAGAGCGAGGTTCATCGGCAGACGTACGTTTTTACTTGTACTTTTTTGCTGCGTTTGGAAGGTTAACATGCGGTAAAGGATTATACACAAGACGATCAGTCAGGAGGAGCAGTATATCCAGGATCTGGATATGGTTGAAGAGGTGTGTAGCACCGTGATGTCTGGTTTTTGCGTTGGGGCTAACGTCGTTATGTGCAGCTCTTCATACGGCCACTGCGTCAAGTAGACCCGCAGATTCTAGAGCCGTCCGCGCGAGACGACTTCATCGAAGAAGTGTTTGGCAACATCCTCGACCTGCGCGAGTGCAACAAGCAGCTGCTCGAGTCGATGTACGTCCGGCAGCGCGAGCAGGGCTCCATCGTGCAGAAGATCGGCGACGTCTTCCTCGAAGCCGCGACCGTGTTCCGGTACGCGTACCCGACGTACGTCGGGCACCTGCCGCTCGCGGAGAAGCGGTTCCGGGACGAGACGGAGAGCAACGCGGGGCTGCGGCTGTTTCTGGAGGACTGTGCGCGGCAGGGGGCGCGTGCGCAGGAGGGGGCGCGGCGCGGGCTGGATCTGAAGCACTTTTTGAGCCGGCCGAGCGAGCATCTGCAGAAGTATCCGATTGCGCTGGAGGCGATTGTGAAGGAGACGACGGAGGGGAATCCGGACGCGGAGTTTCTGGGGGAGGCGATTAAGGCGATGCGGAATCTGCATGCGGTTGCGCAGCTAAGGACGTTTCAGACGGCGATGGGGCGGGGGCCGGCGGGCAAGTGGGAGTGGTTTGATCTTGTGGGGCAGGATGTGAGGGAGGGGTTGCCGAAGAAGGAGCAGAAGCGGCAGGCGTGAGTTGGCTTAGCATCTTGGTGTGGGTGGTTTGGCTGATGGTTTTGCGTTGGGACTTTAGCATTATTTTCGAGCTTATCAAGGGCGAGATGGCGTATGTCAAGGACCTGGAGAACATCGAGACGATGTACGTCGTCCCCCTGCGTGAGGCGGACCCGCCGATCGTGCCCCGGGACCGGCTGCAGTCGTTTATCACCGACGTGTTCCATAATTTTGCGGAGCTGCATGCGCATCATCACAGGCTGCTTGAGCAGCTGCACGACATCCAGAGGGAGGAGCACCCCGTGATTAACAGCGTTACGGCGCCGCTGCTGGATACGGTGCTTAACTTCCAGGACGCATATCGGGAGTATGTGCCGAATTATCCGATTGCGGCGTATAGGATCGACGATGAGATGGGGAATAATCAGGACTTTAAGATGTTTGTTGAGGTGAGGCCTCAGCTTGCGTTTTGCTGGACATTGCTGATCTATCTGTTCTCGCTAGCATTGCACGCGCCACCCCGACGCGCACCGTCTTGACATGAAGAACTTCATCAACCGGCCGATCCCCCGGCTGCTGCGGTACGAGCTCCTGCTCAAGAACGTGCTCGACGAGACGCCGGCGCACCACGAGGACCACGAGGCGATTCCGCACGTGCTCGAGCTGATCAAGGCGCTGGGGAAGGAGACGGAGCCGGGGGTGCAGTCGGCGAAGCAGAAGGTGGAGCTGTGGCGGTACAACTCGAATCTGGTGTTCAAGGCGGGGGACGCGGTCGATATGGACCTGTTGAACGAGAACCGGTCGTTGATCCATTGTGGGAAGCTGTATAGGCAGCCGGATACGGGGTTTGAGTGGAACGGGTGGACGGAGCTGTTTGTGTTGTTGTTTGATAATTATTGTGAGTGGTTGGTTGATTTTTGGGGCTGCGTTTGGATGGCTGATGGGTTGGGCAGTGGTTATGACGAAGGTCAAGGAGAAGGATGGGTTGCAGAAGTTTAATGTCAGCCGGAGGGTACGTATTCCTTTACGCCTCGAGAGGACGTCTTGACAGTGAGATATTCAGCCTATACCCCTCGACCTCTTGACGCTGGCCAGCTTTACCGACCCTCCGACGCAGCGCGGAGGTGGGCTTATCCGTCTAGGTGGCTTGCGTGACCGGCACGGCGGCCCCTCTGTCGGCGGTGGCAACCCGAACGACGTCTCACCAGTGGGCGGAAACATGCCCGAAAGCAGCACCTCGGACTCGCGCGCCGTGTACCCATGCACGATATACTACACCGGCCGGCTCGGTGGGCTCGTCACGCTGTACGCCGAGTCCGCGCAGGCACGCGCCGAATGGAAGGGGAAGCTCGAGGAGGCGCTCGGCCTGCGCAAGGTGGTGCAGGAGAGCAACAAGGTGTTCGAGATGGAGGCGCTGAGCACGGACACGTTCCTGATGCCGACTGTGAGCACGGGGTCGTCGAATATCGGGTCGCAGCAGCCGGCGTGGAACGAGAACGCGATCACGGGCAAGGTGACGTGTTCGGTGCCGTTTATGACGAGCGATGGGCGGTCGTTGGTTGCGATTGGGTGTGCGGAGGGCGTGTGGATTGGGTTTAGGCATGATTCGCGGTGTGCGTTTTTCTTTGTGATGTGGTGGTTGGTTCAGTGCTGACGGACGGATGTAGCCATGCGACGCGTTTTGCACCTTAAACTGGTGACGCAGTGCGCGATGCTGGAGGAGTTCGGCATTTTCCTTGTGCTTGCGGATAAGGTTGGTCGGTTTGCCTGCACCAGTTGTGCCTGGTTAACATGTTGTTTGTTTAGTGTCTGTTCGCATACCACATTGAGGCTCTCGTTCCATCGCCATCGAGTAACCCGCACGCGACGCAGCAGACGCCTCAGCGAGTCAATACCACGCGTGATGTGCAGTTCTTTAGCGTTGGACATCAAAACGGGCGCACGCTCGTCATCTACATGAAGAAGAAGCAGGTGCGTGTAGCTCACGATCAGAGGGTCCCGTTGTTGACGTCTTGCGACAGCTCGAGAGTATCTTCCGCGTACTTGAACCCGTCGTCGAACGCATCAATGACCGTAGCAGAGCCAACGCGTCGTTCACGTCGCGCTTTGGTCTGCGTCAGCCTCGGTCGGAGTGGTTCCGTGTATTCAGGGTGAGTTTTAGGATTACGAGTTCATGTGGATGACGACTGACGACTCTGCCAGGAATTCTTCCTTCCGTCCGAGTCGTATGACCTTGTGTTTTTGAAACACAAGATCGCGATTCTTTGTACGAAGGGCTTCGAGATCATGGATTTGACTGAGTATGTTTTGAGTCATTTGACGCATAAAAAAGCTAATTGATTGTGTGTTTCAGCTTCAAGAGTGTCAGTATTCCGACGCGGGATGATCGCTACGAAAAGCTTGCTAAACGTTGCGAAAACTGCCGCCCGATGGGCATGTTCCGTGTCGATAATGAGTTCTTGCTTGTATACGACGGTGCGTCGAGCGACTTGTTCCTCGTTGACCGAGTTTGCTGAGCTTCTTGGCAGAGTTTGGGGTCTACGTTGACCGACACGGCGCACCGAGCCGCGCGAACCACACCATTGAATGGGAAGGCACCGCTGAGCGTGCTGCCCTGCACTGGCCTTACATACTTCTCTTTGACTCGCGCTTCGTTGAAGTCCGGCACATTACAACTGGCCTGCTCGCCCAGATATTGCAGGGCACCGAGATCCGCTGCGTCTGGGACGGCCGTGGCACGTCTGTCAACCTCAACAAGGAGTCCGAGACGTCGAACGAGGGTATGAACCTCGAGCCGCACATCCACATCGTCATGAACAATCTCGAGCCGGCGCAGGGCAACAGGCCGCGCACGACGTCGCAGCACATCTACGAGCTGACGCCGACGGTGCCGCTGTATCTCCCCGGCTCGCTCGATTCGCCCACGCAGTCGAACTTCAACCAGACCAACTCGCCGCCGCGCTCTCCCCCGCTCAACCCGAACTGGAGAGAATTGCGATGAGATCCCTTCTCAGCTACTAATAGATCATAAAATGGAGACATGGACTTGAGCCCGGATTCCACACGTACATACACTTGTTTCGATTTTCTCTTTCGCTGTTTTACTCCCCTGTTCTGTTACTCACTTTATACTCATGATCAGTTAGTGGATTTATTCCTCATGTTTAGTGTGCTGCATAGCTGCATCGTGTATTCGTACTCTTACAAGCCATCAATTATCGTTGTTTTCATCTTTTTCTGTTATGTCGCGGAGCGATGAATCTCATCTGGCTTGTACTGCTAATTTAGCTTGTATTCTACTACAGTCGTGATCACCGGCGTCTTTGGAAGCTAACAAGGCCACACAAGGCCCTTCTTTTTCGTAGCGCTTCGGTTCATCGAGACGTACGCGTAATGTTCCGCTGGACCTTATCGCGTCGAACACTCATATTTGTTTGTGTCGCGGTTGCACTCTTCGCATCTCTCCTCCAGTGCCTTAACGGTTCCGTCTATCGACAGGCCCAACCAATCCGTCTGTCCAAGATGTCAACTACAGCCTTTTACTCAACTCCACGACACAAGACTCGTGAAATCGCTGCCCAGGACAAGCACACGGCGACGGTGATCTTGATGCATGTGCGTGGCCTGCGCTTTGCGCTTATACCAGGTCTACTCATGCAATCTTGAACCAGGGTCGCGGTGATCAACCGCTAGGCTTGCAATCCGCGTGGGAGCACTATGTCATCAGAGACAACGATGCTCTCAAGCACATCAAATTCGTCATTCCCTCTGCCCCAGTGATCAAGGATCCATTGTACTCTCAAGAGGTGGCGACCTGGTACGATGCTGATGACTCGAAGACGTTCGCCACTGGGCGTAGGCCCCCTGCCCTTATATACGACATCGAAGAGCAGGCTGAGCGAATAGAGTTCGCGAGTCTCATGCGCTCTGTCCGCGATGTGGACTTGCTCGTTGAGCAAGAGGCGGAGATTCTTAGAGGCTCGCTGCAGGGACAGGATGTCGCGCCTGAGAAGCGGATCGTCCTTGCTGGTTTTTCACAGGGCGCTGTGATGTCGATTATGACAGGACTGACTGGATCGCCAACTCCAGATATCCTAGCGCGGAAAACGAAAGAAGGCAAAGTGAGGGAGGAGGACTTGGTAAGAGAAGGAAAGGCAAGGGAGGGCTGGGAGGTCGGTGGGATAGCAGCTCTCAGCGGGTACGTTCCGCGTCTGCACGAGTTCCGCGCAGTAAGTTTCTATCTTTTCCGGTTCCTCTAATTCTCGGATCCCTCGTTGATACCAATTGCACTAGATGTATTCCCAGAACGCTCGCAACACCCCTCTTTTCATGGCACATGTCAAGGTGGACAATGTCGTGGCCTGTTCTGCCGGCGAGACTTCTGCCAAGCTCATCCAAGAGCTGTCTGGCGGTGAAGCTGATATTATCGACCACAGCATAAATGCAGACCACAAGGCAAAGAAGAGCCTTATTGAGGTGCATCAGTTTGGAGGATCAGGGCATGTATACAACGAAGCCCAATTTCTTCAGCTCAAGGAACATCTGTCTGCATGGCTCACGCGTGTCGTTCCTCCGCTCTAAGCGATGCCAGTTCACTATATTACATAGAGCAACTACTGCGTGAGTTATGCTGAACCAATAGCTTGACTTGGTTTGTAAAGGGCGTGTCATACTACAGTACTAGTAGTAAGTATCTCAAACGATTTTCTTTAATCGTTCTTGGGGTCCGACATAAATGATGCTTATCGCTCAGGTTTAAAGTCCTCTTGATACCCATCGCCTTGCTTTCAGCTTGACATTAAATGATGGAATTCTCTCGGCCTTATCTGCCAGACGAGATGACTTTATCACCCGAGAGATTCGAGGCGGCGGTCGAGGTCGAAGTGCCTGCTGAGTCGGAGATTGAACTTTACTGTTCCGCCGGCACATTTTTGTAGCGACTAAGCGTTTACCAGACGTTTGGCGACGCCGGCCGTCCACTCACTCATCATCAACGTCGTGCCCCCATAAGCAGAAAGCAGGGACCAAGGGCGAATCATTCGGTCAACGCCATACTCAGGAAGCTGAGAATAAAGCCCAGACCAACTTTTCCTGGTGTCCAGCTCAACCGTGCACAGCTTCCAGCTTGCCCAGCACCGCCGTGTGGTTTGGCCGCTTCCGACTTTACGCAGGCTCAGGGATCTGTCACTTTGACTGACATTGTCAACTTGACCATCAAGCTTCTTTCGAGTATGCATTCAATTCAAGGGCCCACCGCGTCTTCCGCCGGTCTGATGTACAGTAAGTGTTTTTACACACCTTTTATCATACCGAGAGCCTTGAGTGTGATGCTTATGAAACAAGCCAGAATACCTGTGGGCTGTGGGTTCTGCGTTCGATGAGCTGCATAATCAAACAAACGAGAAAATGCTGCAATTCTATGTCGTCTGGGTGCTTTTATAGATATGTTTCTCTGTCATCACATTCCGGGAAACCGGCGCCTATCAGCACTCCAAATGACTTGCCAAATGATTCTTTTAATATAGCAAGCGAACCTAATATGTTCATATGGTGCCGTGAGGTGCACAGGGGCGTGCATGGGGGTCCTTATAGGTGCACGAATTTCCCCTCTGGCTACTTCACATTTCCCCGTCCACCATACTCAACTGCGTCCTTTAGCAACCATGAATTTTCATGCTCCTGGCGATCTTGACTCTCCTGCCTTTCTTCCTCGGGATGGAAGTTCGGGAGTTGATGACGGATGGACACTTTTCCCCGGCAGCATGCATCCTTACAACCTGGCCTCTGGTGGCTATGTGAGCTCCACCGCCTACGAGGACTTGTCGCATCCGCGGGGTATACACCAGTCGCTCCCCGTCCCGACACCTGCGCTGTCTCCAGACACACTCCACTACCCGCTCACATCGCCAGAGTCGGTGGTCTCCCACTCTACGTCTCATGTCTCCCCTGTCACGACAACCGATGCATATGCAGCCCAAACGCTCGCTTCTTTGCCTGACGCAGACTTTGCGCTCAGCTTCGCCTTCGCTTACGTCGATGACGAGTCAACGGTAAGCCGATGTTTATTGTGTTTGAGGCCAGGACGCTCACGTCTCTGACTCAGACGGTCGTGAACACCACCGAGGGTTTTCATCACGAAGCTGGCTCTCCCCAGTCTCCCGGGCACATCGTGTCTTCTCGCGTCGAAGTCTCCGACGTTGGCGAGCGAGACCAAACTTCTGTAATAACCACTGGCCAACCCAATCATGGTATCGGTCAATACGCGCATCAGCTCGTCATGCCAACATTGCCTATCCCTCCTTCCCTCTCTCGACGTCCGCCTCCTCCAGAACAGATACATCTTGTTTCATTGCCAGCGCAGCACGAGCCCATTCCTCCTCAACAGTTTCCATTGTTGGTTGGTCCACTGTCGCAAAACCCCTCCGACCAAGTCCAGCACCGACTTGTCGCTGGTGGAGACCCTGACGCGGTCAATCACGTTCATCACACATTGCCGTTCTCCCTGAGTCAGAGCGAGAATACCCTGCATACCCAGAAAATCTACTCGCAAGCTCCAGATGGGAGTCAGCCCCGTAGCCACTCCGCGAGTTTGCCGTCCAGCCCCCATGCACGAATTAATGGGGAAGTGGCGGCACTTTCACCCTCAATTGTGAGTCAAATACTCGTACGCGCACGTATTATCTGTATTAACGCCATGAGCTAGGACGCCGTTCACTCCGCCTGTCATGCTCACTACGACTCATTCACCAGAGCGATGAGCCAGTTGTTCATGGTCATCACGGGATGTCCAGCCTGCCGCGAGTTCACATCCCGCAACAATCTCTTATCCATGTATAAGCTTGTTGCCGAGCTCGCCGTTAAGCACCCCGATTCAGCCGAGTTTAAGGTCGCTCTTGATCGGATCGTCGAGTGCGGAGCGTTGGTACGCTTCTTCGTTGTTCCTACCAGCATCCGTTCAATGCTGATGATAATGTCAGCGCGACGATATATCCCCGCAGGAGGCGGCCTCCTGTGTCCCAAACGACTTGGTTGGAGACTGGCGTCTCGCTTACTTATGCGGGTGGGGCGCAGCTCAGAAACGTGCTACTCTGAGGCCTGCTGAGGTGATAAATACGGGCTTGCCCGTTCCGTCGCTACCTCTTGACGGCGTGACTCAGAGTCAGAACGCGGTACCGGTGAGTCTTACATGAACTATTGTATTCCCGTACTCAAACCGATCAGCAGGCATATGACTTATCTCCCACAACGATCTCTCCCGCGAATCATTTGGCACCGGCGCACGCCCACAACATCATTTCCTGCCAGCCATCAAGAGACTGCGGCCTCTCCATCCGCTCGTCCTCTAGGGTTTCATCTCCCTCGGCCTTCGCCCAACTTCAGGATGGGCAGTTGATGTCTGAGGTGTCTGCGAATGATTTGCATGAGCGTTCACAGAGATTAGACGTCAATTCCGAAGAAAATCGGAGCGATATACGCCCTACCCTTCGCAGTACGTCCATCTTGTATTCGCCGGCTCACCGTACGCTCTTAGAGCGGGACGTAGAGTTCGCCCTTGCTGCTGTAAGTCTTTCAATTGAGCGACCATTAATCAATACTCATCCGGTTTTCCTTTAGCAGAAACTCGATGTTTCGCTTTCATCCGCGGAACCCAAGTTCAGTAGCCACCATTCCCCTATGACAAACCGGCCCACTTTCGCCCCAAATCGTCCCGACGACACGAGTAGGAAGCGAAAGCGCACCATTCAACGATCGCTGCAGAAGAGGTTGAGAGTAGAGAAAACCGCTGATGTCCTCCGTGAAGAGGACAACACGAGAAATCTGAAACACCATGCGCAATCCGCAGCTACGGATGCTACCGACCACACTTCGGCAGTGTCAAACTTCGGTCGCCCCCCTTCGACGGGTGGGCCTCAGTGGACGGGATCTCAGGCGCCTGTGAGAGGAGGGTTGAGAGAATTGACAGGCATGCCACCATCCGCACGTTCTGATTTTATCTCCCAGCAGAGCGTTCTGTCCGTCCATCAACCCGATGATTCTGTCCGTTGCGCACGATCCGAAGATCTGATAGGACCCGGCACTCCGGGCAACCCTAATCCTTACCGCGCTTCGCGAGGTGGAGCAGAAAGACTCACGCGCTAGGGTTGCCACCGAGCCAGTCCATGGGATACGTCCGCATGGACGTATAATCCCAATGTCGGTGAGTTGTAGCTTATCTTAGCCATCACCAGGTGCTAATACGAAGCTCCTTCTTTTTCCAGTACTAACCACAATTTTCCGCTAGCTGAGTGGTGGAAACCAGGATGCGTACTCGCAAAGGCTGCTGTAAATAAAACTCACCTTCATGCTCAATTACTTCTCTCTGCACAATGGGACGTTTTCCCAACAAATTGTAGTCGCTCGCAAACATTCCTTACACATCGAATAATTTACTGTGCTTCTCGCAATATTAGAGTGAAATGTCTCAACTCAGTAGGTCTTAGGGTTTGAGCTCTAGGGCCCGGGGTTGTCCTATATCAAGGCACTAAGTGAGATCGATGACGAAGATGGATCTGCATGAACTACGAGAGTATTTTCCGTTACCAAGCGTCCCATAAGAATTCAGTGATGTCCTATACTGAACAGGGCGTATCTTTCCCGGTTCAAATAGGCTACAGTATAATTTTCGGGTTATTTCCAGTAAACTTTTCAGGGACATGCGCGTATCTACTAAGATCTACTAAGCATGGAGCATAATCAGCACATTGGAACCAGTGCACACCTAACCCAATACCGCTTCAACATGCAGCAATCTATACATGTGTGTGCACAGACGCGAAACGCACATCGCTCACTGCCTCTTCCTCGTCGCCCTGTGGCTGAGAATTTCCTCTACGTAGTTTAGCATCGTATCGTCTGATACTCAGCATCATTGTCGGACCAAGCAGACACGTTTGATACCATGGGAGCACATCGGTGATGACACCGATTGCAGCTAGCGCGGTAACGTTGTTTAGTAACTGAGCAGATTAAGAAGTCAGAACGACTGTCGAAGATGGGAGGCGGAGCCTTGCTCACCCCAGCAAACAAATTAACTCCGCTCACGCCGAGGGACGACTGCAAACTGCCAAAGGCGCTCGCGATCATAGATCCTGCGAGCCTTGAAAATAGGAAACGTATCAAATAAAAGCACAAGGTCGAAATTAGGCTGACTTACGCAAGGAAATAAAAAGAATTGTCTCTCATCATGACGTTCATCAGTCTGCCCCTTGGAAGCCCCGAACTCGCACGCCAAGTCTCTCTCACATGCACAGCGAAACGGCTCAAACCCAGAATGAGGAGGATCAGCTCGTATAACAGGACTGCGCATTCGCTCGCAAGGGCGAGGCGAGATGCAGTGAGGGTGGACGGAACATCACACGTTCCTGGGGGTATAACTAGTACCCACATAAAAGATAACCACTAGTCAACACAGCGCCTTGTTCCCGTAGATATCGATAAGTACGTACCGATAAAATCGTGCATCCCACTCACGACGACTGCCGTCGACACAATGTTGAGAACTTGGACAGCTATAAACAGAGACAAAAGAACCACGAGTAGGAACTTGGGACGACCGGACATAGCATACACCCGGAGTGCTATCATGCCTGATTTACAGCGTAGTTTTATGGATCATGAGCGTGATAAGCCGTTGAACAAGTACAATAGTTGAGCGTACCGTTCAAGCTAAGAAGTAGAATTGCCTGCATAATATGTTGTTTGCGGAGCAAAAAGCTACCTGTGATTGATGTTAGCCCGATCGAAGGGCTATGGTAATAATGAAGATTTAAGCCCTACATCTAGAATTAAGTGAGATTGAAGAGATAATGTCGAGTCAGCTACGAGAAAATGATGATCGCGTAATAGTAAACAATAGCCGTACATCTGATTCAGTGTGTCAGTGCCATGATATTATTCAACCCAAATGTCAGCTCACGTCAGGCGTACTTTGCTCGTTGAGCCACACCTCTTGCATGGATGAATCTCGGATACCAAACGACCAAATAATAACCAAGTCTGAGCTACTCAGCTATGAGTTAGCATTGACATATTCTGGAAGTTGGGACTCACATAGCATAGAACAGGCCTCCGTAGCGGAGCTGAACATGAACGAGGATGACGGCGTCGCATTAGGTCTTTCTCTTACTAAGTGAAGCACATTTCTTCTCACTACGGCATAGAGAACTGTCGATAAGAAAGGAGATCCCTAATAGAAACTGCTCTAGACATTTTCTGTGTGCTTGAGTTACGTAAACTGACCCATATATATTCCACCTTGGTGAAATGAATGTTAGCGCCCAAATAGACTTGTGTTCCCGACTCACCTCGTCACCGATGTTAATTACTGACAAGCGTATTCGGTCAAGTCAGTTGCAGTGACGGAAACAGCGCACTCGACTCTGTATGCACTTACAGTAGTCGTGGACCACCAGGAATCCCATAGCACCTATATGGGTCAAAAACGTCCAGTGGAAGAGATGTGGAGAGTACGTACATTGGGCATAGTTGGAGCTCTGCCACGCGACTGAGACTGAGATAAAAGCTTCGGGCGAAGACGTCGTTGCCATTGAGTTATGAGGAACTCTGTGGAAGATGAAGCGCGAGGTGTCTCACCGAGACGCGCGTTTTATAGCGGCTTATGAAACAGTTCAAGCGTCGTCAGAATAATCGTCAAGTACACTGCAAATGTGAAGTGGGGATCGGGAGAGTAACGAACCTGAAACATGGGCACGGCAGTATATTGAGCGGATAATGGCAAGTAAACCATAGGTATCAAAGGGCGTACGTAAATTACTACCAGCCTAGGAGGATCCAATTGACTTCATGGTAATGCTGTGAGCGGCGAGCACCGCTTAGCTACTATGTTTGCTGTGGGTTGTGGATATTAAATTCTTAGCCAGTGGAGCATTACTCCTCATCATTTGTTCCCTCATCTAAAAGGGAGAGTTGAGCGCATAGCAAATGGCGGCGTTGATGAAAGGATAGGTTGGCAATGGACGTGACGTACGCAGTCAAGGCGGCAATCAATGCCATTTTTTAGCTGTGCCTTTCCTCTATGCTCGACGCCATCCCTTACATACATGGTTTCTAGAGATGTTTCCATGATTATTGCACACAGTATATACCTGTTTCTCCGTCCAGCTCGTTTGCATGGGTGAATCACGAGCGAATGGCCGCATATTATTGAGCATATTAAAATTGTCGGACAGTGGTTAGGTCACGACTTGATGATTATTCACTTTAGGACATATACCGAGGATCAGTCAACCACTTTTCATGTCCATACGATCATGAGATGAGCTCCTCTCGAGAGGAATGAACCCCGACTTACTGAGCAGTATGACTTCTTGTAGACAGCAGTGGTGATCTGCTTTCGACGTAAGGTGAAGGCAGAAAATACACCTTGAAGAGAAACCCTCAAATGATGTATTAAGCTTCTTCAAGCCAACACATCCTTAAGCGGAGGAGAACCAGAGCGCTTTCCCCTGGTGCAGTTTGCTCATTCAGAGGGCATTGACGAGATCGTTCTTAGCAGTCGCCGGAGGACAATGTCTCTCTGAGCCCCACTGCCTTGGATGGTGATGAAGTATTTGTTTTCAAACTGCCGCGTGTTGAACAAGTTTCCATGGATTTGTAGTATTCAGTGTGAGCCATGGCCATGATTGCATCACTGACTTGCTGCGTGTTGGCTTGCCTCAGACTCAAAACACGAGGCCAACTGCATTTATCACGTCAAGATGATTCTTCCTTCTTCTGCTAACGGGATCGAATTTAACCGCTATCGCTCGGGTTTATCGATCAAGCCTGGCTAAGCGCAGGTGTAAGATGGGAGACTTTGGCGTATCGGACAGTTATCAGATGGAAGAAGAAACGTCAGTCGATTGAATGGTCGAAGTCAATATGATATGTCGGAGTTTAAAGCCTATATCAACACTTTGACTCCGCCGGCCGTTGACGGCTAGTCTCGGTGGCTGTACCCAATGCTGTCTCACCCGGTCCACCACAATCCTACTGAATAGTGCGTGTCAGCGCTATTACTACTAGTGGCGAGGTGTAGAGTAGTGTTGAAGTGACACAGAATGTCCCCGCCATTCCTACAAAAATAAAAGATGTCCTGTGCCGAGCGCTGTCAGCATTGAGGGCGATGTTCGGGTCGGGCGCTTCTGGTGGCGCTCAGGGTTTGATATCAGTTGCCGTTTCTTGAGTAGGCACTTCAGGACCTACTCTTTGGCGGAAAGGGAATAAACCGCTTCCTCCGCAACTCTTGTAACGCGAAATAACAATCAAAAGGTCGACGCTTCGTGAATCTTGGCATGCAATAGCAACTTGGCTCGCCACTTAGAACTCTGACGGTGGCATGCACTATAGTCTCAGGCTACAAGTGATGAAGCGACCAGAGAATGCGAGCTGATGGATATGATATGCATTCGTTTATTAAAAGGGACCGCCCTGTCTGATGACGAGCTTGACAACGCGGGGCCCGCAACATGTTGACATCGACCGCATCGGCGTCTGGACCTCGATACTATGGGTCCTTATAGGTCCAACGACGCGCCATATTTCGCCCCCCGAGTCTCACTGCTCATCACCCCACCACCAGCCCCTCTCTTCTGCACTTTGACTTTATGTATTTTCCTGACGCTGTATCTCGACTGCTGTCTGAATCCGACTCCAAGGGTCTAGACGATGTCTTCCCATCGGCTGATGCGACGAGTGAACTAAACGATGCATTCCGACTTGCCCTCAACACCGTCGTGGACAACCTAGGGAGCGACACTTCGTCACCGCCAACTACGCCTACCCCCGAGACGCCTCCTCCCGGAACTCCCCCGTCTTCCCTCTTCTTGACTCTCGACCATCTAATTTTATGGAACGATGTCTACGAAACGGTACGCACATCACATTGGTCTCGGCGCCATGGTACTCACATGCACGACTAGCCTATCGACTGGGAGAACGCCCCTCCACTGTTGGACAAGACGCACCAACCTAGCTTGAAGGACGAAATTGATGTCCTATCTTTGCTTCCCTACACACCACCCCCGACTTCTCAGCCCGAACGGCTATACCGCACGGACCAACTGAGTCAGGTTGCTCCTCACCTACCCCAGCTACCACCACCACCACCGCCTGCTCTCGAATCGCCCAAAGTGGTAAAGCGTCCTCGAAAGGTCACCGCATATGCTGGTAATATGTCCACGTTCAGCGTCGATAACGTAAGTGCTGGCCTTCGACTTCAACTCTGTATACAGCATTGAATCCATGTGAATAGTCTAGCTCAGAGGTGCGCTATAGACGTACTAAGAAGCTGACGCCGAAGCGCCCTCTATCGGAGCTGCCGGTGGTCACACCGGATCGCGAATACTACCCTGCACCGAAGTTGAACGCCGAACCTCCCCCTGGCCAGCTGAACGCGGATGAGTCTCTCTTCGGCTACTATCGCACACCAGTGGTGGTGACGGAGAGAAAAGAGGAAAGGGAGACGAAGGAAGAGGAACCTGACATCGTACTCATGGGCTTCGGTCACGTTCAGAGGCCTGATGTCCCAGCGTCGAATCTGAATTCGGTGAGTCAGCAGGAATCAGGGGCAATCAATATACCTACTAAGCTTCCTTACTCCAGAGCGGCGTCACCAGAACAGCACCAGCTTGCACGACCGACGAGACGAGTCACCAGGGCCGCAAGAGGGGGAGAGACGACGATAGTCAGGGCCTAGAGAACGCGAAGAGGCCGAAGATACAATCCAGCTCGTCCTCGATGAAGAGGACAAAACAGCAGAAACATAGACACACATCGGGAGTGGACACCACGGGGGCTACCAACTCGCTACATGCGAGGTATGCTTCTGGTCTCCCTCCTTCACTCGGGGGAACGGGAGCGGCAGAAACAGACGGCGCCTCCGCGATGGGAGACGCCTTGGGGGAGGGCATTCGAGGAGGACAGGCCGATATCGAGAAGGAAAGAAGGATCCGGGACGGGCATGTAGCATGGTGGCCTGATTTCGATGCTCTCTATTTGAGTTTTACCTTCGACTTGCCATATGGCCACACGGGGTGAGTCTGAGTCCGACTCCGGATCGATCCTTCCTTGCGTGCTGATTCCGCATTGAAGTGAAAATTAGGCCAAGGGGAATCTCGGCGATCGAAAGTTGTAGCTCACCAGCGCTGCTTCAGGCCCGTTGCAGGCAGATAGTGATGATACCCGTTGTACTATCATAACGTCTTCTGCTCTTGTCTCGCTTTTCTGTACCATAGACCAAAGGCATTCTATTCTCTCCCTCGAAATGTTTTGAGACGATGACGCTCCCGATAACGGAGCTCCGAGAGATGGAGCAGGAGAAGCTGCGACCTAGTGACAGATCCAGGATCTCGGAACGCCAACGCGGGGAATTGTCGTGCTCACTGCTGATGGCTCGGATCGAGGCATCCCAGGTGAAATGCGGAACATGAGTTGTCCTCATTTATGATACATTTGGCTCACCTGAACGCGGACCTCTGCAGGTGTTGACCAGGACGTACAAGCAATAATGCCTGCGTGTGATGGTGGGATGCACTCGTCGAGGGTAAGACGACGCGTGGCAATGGCGTCATCACGAAGTCACGATAGTTATTTACCCTTGTTGATGAACTTCGTGCATCTACGGCACAAGGTCCATCGCGACGTCACGACGATATAGGTCCATATGGATCCCGCCGTAACTTTGGAAATGGTCATCAAGCATCATGGACTCGCTGAACTCGGGTCTCTAAAAGAGCACATGCTACAACCTGAGGTTAGATACATGTTCAGTGCAATGCGCATGTCCTCAGGCACAGATTCCCCCGAGAACTCCCGTGTATCTTCAGAGAAACGGGCCTATGCTGGAACATACCATGCTTATCCACATAGATGCATAAGCGAGAGATCGGTGTCTGCTCCGACATTCGTTGCCAATCGACGGGCAGCATCTATTGAATCATCGAGCTATGAACATCTTCGGCGTCCTTGGCGGTTTCCTCATCAGTTTGTCGTCAAATATGAGCTGCAGAAGATAATGAACCATCGATTACAAGCAGCACGAGGGCCATCTCCGAGGATGGAGCCATACGTTGCGTGACACATCACCACAAGTCTACTGCGCGTTTCCTTCCGCGTGCCGGGCCCACTGCCCCAGGATCGTCCGCCTGCCTATCCACATCCATTGCCTCTGGCGGTTCAGGCTGGGTCCCAGCCCCCAACCCACGCACGATCTCTGGAGGCGCCTTCTCCACCCACATGTCTTCCCCGTCCTCTCCGTCTTTCTCCTTGCGCTTCTTCTTCCGCGGCCGTTCCCTGTCCCTGTCCCTTTCGCGCTCAGACGACTTCTTCGGCGCGATCGACAGGCCCTCAACGCCGTCTTCATCCAGCTCGAACGAAACGAGCGGGCCCGACTTCTTGCTCTTCTTGTCTTTCTTTTCCTTATCGCGTTTCTCCTTCTTGTCCTTCTGCTCTTTCCTGTCCTTAGACTTCTCGGAAGACTTGCCCTTCTCCTTGGGTTCCTTCTGCGCACGAGGTACGAACGTCGGCTTAAACGATGCGAGATCCACGTGCTCCCGAATGCCTTGAACGTCGTCTGCGTGACGACGCACTTCGCCCCGGCTTTCATCGCCTGTATCCTGTTTCCCTCCCCCAAGGCTGGGATCAGCTCCGTTCGACGCTACGGCAGCCTTGGGTCCATCGTCGGGATCTGGCGGGTCATCTGGGTCATCACCATCATCCTCGTCGTCACTGGCGAAGATGGCCTTGAAGATATCCATCGACGGTCGCTCGTACGTCAACACATCCCTCGCCTGCGTATCGTCCTCTCCCAGCCCAACGTTTGCGAGGTCCCGTTTCTTCGGCACGTCTCCACCTACGTCTCCTCCCGCATTGCCTGCATCGCCAGACAGGTTGTCGGCTGCAGTCTCAGGCTCAGCGCCAGCATTAGCAGCACCATCTGTATCGGCCGAGGATGCTTGTGGAGGAGGCGCCGACGGAGCAACAGATGATGAGGATGCGACGAGCGACGGATCGAGCTCAGGTTCGCGCACGCCAAAACGTTTGCAAAGCAGCCTTGCAGGCATCCACGCGCGAGTCGTCCGCGTGAGCGGGCCATACATCCCGAGCTTGGCCGCATGCACCTTCGGATCCTCCTCTTTCTTCTCTTCCTCCTTCATCGGCTCGTCTTCGTCAGGTGACGCAGACGCATTCGCCTCAGCTTCCGCCTGGGGCGTGTGCAGTCCCTCGATGATCTTCGGCCCCAGATCAAGCGCAGCAGCACTCGTGAACCTCCCCGCCATCGCACCCTGCACGGGTCGGAACAGCGCAGCCGCCTGCGCGTACTCGGCCATCTCCCGTGCGAAATCGTCTGGTGTCTGCCCTGGCGTAGGTACGAGCGACGCGTACGCCGCGCTCGCGGCGGACGACTCTGGTAGTTCGGCATGCGCACGGAGGTACGCCGTGTACCGCACGTTCCTGCTCGGGTTAGTCGCGAAGGGCTGGAAACCGCGCAGGGCAGCTTGGGCAATGTGCGCTTCGGTGGGTGGGATGCGTGGGGGTTCGGGAGGCCCGGGTTCAGCGGAGGTGGAAGTAAAGGAGATGCGGGTGGAAACGGGGATGGAATTGGATGAGGTCGCTGAAGGATGGGCATTTTGAGTGGTGGCCGCCGCGGCGCGCTTGATACGCTCTTGGTCGCGCTGGGACATGTACTCGAACACGGAACGCGGGGCCGATGGGAGCTGGATTTCTCCGAGGGCTGCACCTCGCTGAAAAGAATATTAGGAATTGCGCAACTACGAGACCTAGTGGATTTGACGGACCTCGTCAGCACTCATCCCCTTCTTCCACTGAGCGTGCGGGACATCCTTCGGAGGACCTGCGGGAGGAGCAGCATTCTCCTTTTCCGACGTGACCTTATTCGCTTCCCAAACTTTACGAGGATCCGGTGCCCAGTCCGAAGGTATCTTGGGGAACGGGAACCTTGAATACGGTTAACGTCCCAATAAATATTAGCAGCAATTCGCTACAATACCATTTGTCTTCTGAGACAGGTTTCTCTGCGATGACGAACCCAGAGAGGACGACCGAACCATCGCGGAATCTTCCCGTACTTAGGGTAGACGCCTGTGAAATACGAACTCCATGACCATTAAATATTGAAAAAGGCAGATTTATTCACCTGTGTGCTTGGCGGTGCGGCACTTTGACTCCCATGGCCGCTACTTCTCCCACTAATATTGATTCTTTCTTCATCGTGTGCGTCTGAAGCATCGTACGCAGTCCGACTTCCTCTGTGCGCAGCGGCGGCATCGTAAACGTCGAAATCGTCCTCGTCTGCATCATTCAGTGCCCCAAGGCCGAAGCCGCCTAGCACAAAGAAAAACCAAGACCCATCAACGAAAGTAGCCTAACCCAAGAATAATATTACCCGCGATGTTTGAACTTTCCCTCTGCGCAGCCTTCCCGTCCGCGGCCGCTAAACTCTGCATCAGAGTCGCGCCGGGCGAGTACCCCAACCCATGTGAGTTCTCCTTGCGACCGAGGGCAATGATAGGTGTGTCGCGCCGCGGATAGAGGTGTTTCTTCGCTTCTTCTTCCACGTCTGCGTCTGCGCCCGGTGCGTCGGGGTCGCGGCCAGAGAGGAACTCCCGCTGGCGCCATGTGAGGCGGGGGCCGATGCCGTGGCCAGGGCGCCAACCCATTTTCTTGAGGATGCGGGCGCCAGCAGAGTCTTGAGGGGCGGGAAAGAGAGCGTTTTCGAGGGCGAGGGTTATTGCGCTGACGAAGGCATGATGGTTAGGTGGTGCATTCGTTGAGACAGTGAAGGAGGCAACGCACTCTTTATCGTTTGCGGCATCCGCCGCGCGTCGTGATAACTCTGCCTGCGTCCCAGCTGCAAGGTCCATCTCGTCGTGCTCATCGACTAGCTTTTGGTCCGCGCGGATGTCGGCGAGGTCTTCCTCGTCCATGAAGTCTTCGGGGCGTGCTTGGTGACCTTTCGCTCGATCGGAACGAGACGAGACAAACGTTGATGGTGCCCATCCTGTTGTCGTAGGATGAGGACTTGGGTGTGGTGTGAGGGTTTGGACAACGTACCTTCCTTCGACCCGACTGAGTTGAAGTACCCTGCAGAGAATCCCCCGGTGAAGGCACCATGTAGCCTACGGCGACCCTTCTCGTCTCTGACCTGATAACATGGGTATAAGAATTAAGATTCGAGCTGTGGTCTCGTCAGTCGCGTACCTCTTGTTTCCATAGTGGTACAAACTCGCCAGTATCCTTCGACTTTTCAAGAGGTGGAAGCGGTGTACCAATCTGGACGAATGGTCCGATGAGAAGCTACTTTATCAGAGTATATTTGTCACTCACCAAGCAGAAGTTTTCGTTTGCCTTCCTGCTTGAAGTGTCGATCCCCGCGTCCCCGAGTTTCCGCTTGAGCTTTGACGTATGCATGAGGAGACCGCGACTGAGAGCAATGTTTGCGAATGTTTGATCCCGAGGCCACTGCCAAATAGCTGTCAACTTGGCCGGCTGTTCCTCGGCACGAAATGTCGCCTAAGCGAACCCCACGACCTCCCGTAACACGATGTCGTCCAGTCCAGCAGCAGCGTTATCGAATCTTGATGACATCCAGCATCTTCCAGTGTTTCAACCAGCTCATACGCGCGTACCAGCAGTACGTACCTAGACATACGCATCGGCTAACGTCTAACGACGTCACCAACGTCGTAGAGGCCTCTGGATCCGATGTCCATGCACTGGATGCTACGAAGCTCCGGTCTGCGCTGGCAACGTTCTATCAGTTACATCTTTTTCTAAAACCTCATTTGTTTGCGCCCCATTTACATCTGTCCCAATACAAATTTGACTAGGGCCTGCAATTCCTGCTCTCTGCGAAGCCTAAACAAGGATTTCTATTGCATCTCTCGTTATAGTTCAGCCATGTTCAGCATATATACAGTGCCAAATGAAGGTCGATGCGCATGCGAACCATGCACATGAGATCTCACTCAACTAGTTGAATGCTTGGCCGTGAGTTGTGTATGCATCTTCTATACTACAAAAGGCTTATCAGCTCCCCTTGTTACTTGGCGCTCAGGTCGTGTGTTCGCACCACCAGACCGCCACCATCAACCCAGGCGATACAGTAAGGCAAACTAAACTTGGCCTCATTTTAGTGAGTATCGTTTTACAATCCAGGCTCCTTACAGGATACCTTCTGAGCAACTGGCTCTCATGTTCTGTTCCTGAGAATACACCGATATCATTAGGTTGGCACTTGGTGCTTTGTGGGCTCGTTCTCTGTGACGATTTCCGCAGCCTTTTGGCTACGATGCAAACTCAGCAGATGTAGCAGCCCGAAAGCAATATCGACGGTCCCCTGACCTTCAACGTTGCAACAAGAACACCCGCATATGTCGACCATTTTGTTCTCATCACTGAGCATCTGAGATTCAGAGGGCATCTGTCAGAAGGTGGAGTCTGGAATGTATCCGTGTCCGCTCCGAGACACCCTGTGACACCGTACCCGGATATCATATGTCACGACGGGACACAGATTGACCAGGCACTGGAGTGATTGCAGGTTTATTATGAACAACTTCCGAAGTGCCGCTTTCACTACCACTATCGCAGATTCGCGGTCCCTTATCTGTCCTCTCCACACTGTCTCGCGAGGTCTGAAGCCAATCTGAAGCCCTCGCAGGCCCTCGCGCCCTCTTGAAACCCGTCAACATGTCACCGTACTAGGCGACGATGCCTCTGAGGAGTTCATCACCCGCGAATCGTGTGCCTCGCATTTAGCGCTACTGCTCCCCTAGTCATTGCGCCCCTGGCCTGGACAGCCAGCTCCTGCTAAGGCCCGCCTTTGCATACTGGATGTAGGTGGCAAAAGGTCGCTTTGCTCAGCCCAGATATACGCGTCGCATGATGCAGGCGCCAGTCCGTCGCGGGGAGGGCGGAGGCGAATATCTCATTATCGATCACAGTAAGACTCTAAGACGAACCCACGCCACGTGAAAAGAAACCGTGCCAAGGTATCGCCATCACAACATCTATGCGGTGATCTTATCAATGTTCTGACAGTCATCTTCCCAAATATAGGCACGTTCATACGCAAAACTTTCGATCTTTTTTTTTTTGAGTTTGCATGCCACACGACCAAAATCTCCTGTTGAGCTCAGTGTACAGTAGCGGAAGACGGGCGAAACCGCTTGGTCCTCGCGAATCAGATACCGCCTTCGATGGGCTGCAAAGTTCAACGAAGCTCGAGTCCGGAGCATCGTTTAACCGATAACGTCCGTTCTGGCCTAGCTTTCGGCAGTGCCCCGAGACCTCCTTCATCGACCCCTATGCCGCGCCCGGAAGTGCATACGCCTGGGCGTTGAAATTGCTCCTAAAACGGCAGCGCTTTCGACTATGGCAGACCTTTTGGCATGCCATGTCAAGCAGTTTCCCTTATCTCGCCAGAAACCACGTTAACATCCACACAATCATACGTTACCCAGGCACCGGCGTCATTACTTCACTTTTGAACAAGGGGGAGGAAAGGGCAGGGCGGTTATCCTGAACCTGCGTCGCAGCGGTCTGCCCTGGTCTGCCTCTGACAGACCGACCTTCCGGAAACATACATATATTTGATCAACGCGTGCGCCTTTCCTGCCAGACCCCTCGTTCTTCTCACCCACGCCCCTCCTTCTGGCGTCTTCCTTCGCTTCCCCCATTCGTCCGTCCTTAGCCCCTCCCCTTGGACACGGACTCGAGCTCTAAGGTGACGATGAGCGCATACGAGAAAGCGGATAGCATCGGTTCGCACAAGGATCTGCCGACCCTTGAGCACGGAAAGGCCGACGTCTACGTCGCCCCCGCGGACGACGATAACCATTTCGATGTCTCGGAGCTAGATTATGTTCGTAGGCAGCTGAAGCAGCGCCATGTTCAGATGTGTGTCTTTCGTGTTTTTGGTGCGCTGCTGCCCCTTTTTGACCGTCCCTTGAACATAGGATTGCTGTATGTTTTACTAGTTTTCTTCGGCGAACCTATGGGTCGTTGACATAGCATCTCGTAGATTGCTGGCACCCTCGGTACTGGTCTCTTTCTTGGTTCGGGAGAGGCTATCAGCGGCTCTGGCCCTGTCGGCGCTCTTATCGCCTACGCTCTCGTCGGCACAGTCGCGTACTCGTAAGTCGTCTTCACCATCTCATGAGTCGTTAGCTCAACGACCTCGCAAGGTCCCTCTGTTCTATAGGAGAGATGACCTGCTGGGCTCCCATATCCGGTACTTTCCCTCACTATGCTGCTCGCTGGGTGGACCCTGCTTTTGGTTTCGCTGTAAGCCCACCATTGATTTCCTGTGACGACATCGCTGACGCTTCACTGGTCTCTAGGTTGGTTGGGTATGTTCCTTCACTCCGATCAAAAGTTACGTTAGCTCAAGCATGTTTTCGCACCGCGAAAGAATTACTTCTATGTGTGTATTCCCATGCTTTCCTACCGAAACGCTCAATAATGCTCGACCGTTAGACAAACGCTATGACTGTCCCCGTGGAAATTTCCGGTGCTTCCCTGCTTATCACCCTGTGGGATGTAAGCGAGAGAGTCCATCGCAGTGCTCTAAGTACTCATGCTCAACGTGACTACAGGTGAACCACGGTGCAATCTACACCGCGGTCATTATCGTTTTCGTCTGCCTTATCAACATCTTTGGCGCCCGCGCCTTCGGAGAGGCCGAATTCGTGTTCTCCATAATTAAACGTGCGTTGCGACCTCACCCCATTCTCCATTTCGCACCATGCCTTCGCACCCCTTGTTCCCCCTCACTACCAACGAAACTAACTTGAAATTATCTGAATTATGCAGTGATCATGATAACGGGCCTGATCATTCTCAGTTTGATCATCGATGTTGGCGGCGGGCCGGACCACCATAGAATCGGCTTCCAGTACTGGAGGAACCCCGGTGTCCTGGCTGGCGCTGGTCTCGAGCCCAACAATATCGGTCTGGATCGGTTCCTTGGCATCTTGTCGGTTTTGGTCCAGGCTGCATTCTCGTTCCAGGGCATGGAGCTTGGAGAACGCCCGGGAAATGGGAAAGGCGGCATTTGCCGCCGCGGCGGCGTGGCGGCGCGGCGGCAGTGGCGGTGCCAAAACCAAACTCCCACGATCTCGACGCGACTGGCGCGTCGCCCCTGGGCCAGTGAGCCACAGATAAGTATTCCTTCGCCATTAGGGCTGTAGAATTCCTTCTGTAGTAGATTATCGTCCCCAATAAAAAGCGTTATCTCCCCAGAATCCCTCTTCGTCTCGCTCCCTCGCTTTCTCTATTTTCTTTATTCCCCTCGTCGCAGCAAACATGTGCCCAGGCGGCCATTCTACTACCTCGGGCTGTCCAACTACCTCGGGCTCTCCGTCTACGTCGAGCTGCCCATCTACATCGGGCCATCCGTCTACCTCAGGCGGCCCATCTACGTCGAGTAGCAGCCACTTTAGCTCGTCGGACGAGCCCTATGAGATCGACGGTGTCCCTTACTGCCCTTGGTGTCATCT